GAGAAAAACAAATAAACAAAGCACAGCTCTCATCCATTGGAAAGCTGCCATGACTAGGGCTCTCACAAAGGGATTGTAATTTAGCTGTTGAAAATAGGCAGGCCCTAGACCTGCTATCTGCTGCCTAAGAAAATGCTCCAAACTAGGGTCAAACTAGATGGGTACAAAATCATGTTCATGCTTTCTTGGAAAAGGCCAGACAATTCCAGGACCAGGTCAGAAAAGGCTAAAATATCTGGCCTCACATTACATCTAGTCATGGAAATCCTGGTCATTATCTCTCCTCAGGAACAGGGTGTCCACACTCTTTCTGCTTCTTGTAGACTATTGTGCTTTAATCTCCTTGTTTGTGTCTCCAACAGAAAACAAGCCATCCAGCTCCAGGTGCTTCTAAGACAGGGATTCCAGCCTACCTCATCAGACAAGATGACCAGCCCTCTGGACCAAGCAGGACAATGCTTCCCGAGGCTATTCTCAAATACCATAGGACAGATAGCAAGAGAAAAATAATGATGCCCATTTGTCAGCTTCCAAAGTAGCTACAGAAAACAAACCTTCAGCCATTTATCCCCATAAGATTATGGGTTTTTTCTCATGAGGGGAGGAAATGTTAAAGTTAAAAATTAACCTGTGTCTGAGAATAAACCAGCATCCGCTGTGAAAGTCCTAGAAGCCCAGCATTTTGCATTTCAAAGCCCTGCTCCGACCTTGATAACCTTCCAGGTGGTCCCAGCCCTTCCCTGCAAGGAAAACTCCCAGGAGAATTCTCTCTCCTCAGGACCAAGTGGGTTACCTGACCTGGGGCAGTAAATCCTTGGGCAATAAAACCTTCACAGATGCTTTAAGGGAAGCCCCTCTGCTGTGCTTGGCTCCAGCAAACCTGCTAATTTACTCTCCACAAAGCCCTTTATTCTAAAGGAGAAGGGGAAAGGGGTAAACAGACTCCCTTAAAAACAGGGAGTCTAAACAAAGACTGTGCTCTCAGCTCTCTTCTCTCTGCTGAGCTGCCCGCCTGGCCTGCCTAGGTGTGTTCTCTCCATTCAACCATGTAACCTGGTTTTCCCCCAGTCTGAGCCACTGAGCGCTCTCTCTTCATCCCTTCCATTCTGATGGATGTCTTTTCCCCAATAAAACCTTACTACTCTACCAAAAAAAAAAAAAAAAAAAAAGGGAAACTTCTAGAAAACATAACCTTTACATATTATTGATAGGAATATAAATTAATACCATAATTATGAAAAACAGTATGGAAGTTCCATTCCTCAAAAAATTAAAAATAGAACTACTATATGTATTCCAGTAATCCTACTTTTGGATATATATTCAATGGAAAAGAAATCTGTCTGTCAGAGACATCATCACCCCTATTTTTACTGCAGCACTATTTATAAAATGAGTATTTTTATCCCAAACATTATGGAACCAACATAAATGTCCATCAGTGGATGAATGGACAAAAAATTTTACACAGACACATATATACACACACAGTGGAACATTATTCATCCATAAAGATAACATTCTGTCATTTGTGACAATATGAATTAACTTGGAGAAATTATATTCGGTGAGCTAAGCACCAAAAGATAAACACTATATGATCTCACTCATGTGGAAACTGAAAAAGCTGACATCATAGAAGTTGAGAGTGGCTGGGGAGGTAGGAAGAAGGAAAGATAAGATAAAGACTGTTCAATGAGTACAGTGTTATAGTTAGGAAAAATAAGCTCAGGTGGTATACAGTTGGGTGACTAGAGCTAACTACAATGTGGTATTTATTTAAAAAGAGAGGAATATGAATGTTCTTGCCACGCAAAAACTGTAAATGTTTAAGGGAATGAACATGCCAATTAACCTGATTTGACAATTAAATGATGAAGATTATACAATGTATAGATATGAAGGTACTGACGGAAAAATGGAATTAAAAGATAATGCTAAGTTTTGGAGATCCCTCATATATTATACCACAAAATAGGTATAATTATTAGATGCCAGCCAAAAATAAAATTTTAAAAATACATTTTTTAAAAGGGAAAAAAAGCTTTAATGGCTCATAGAATCTAGTGTAGTAGATGTACTTCCTTAATATTGGTAACAAAATTGGGCTTCCATATCTAACCTTGCAAGTAGATAATCATTAGTGAAATGTTCCACTATTCTGGGATTCATTTCTACATTCAACTATAAATGGAGAATAAAAATTATTTATGTTTATAGCCAGTGGCCAGTAACACTGTATGAGAAAACTAGCAAAAACTCTGAACACTTATTAATTATATATATATGTATATCTACACATATAGATATTTATAAAGAAAAAAAGGGGAAAATTTGCTTAAAGAATAACCTCAATTCTGACAAAGAACAATCCATTAAAAGGGTAAAATTTTCAGAAGTTTTAAAATTTCCAGTTTTTTTTTTTTTCGAGTTTTTTTTTTTTTTTTTTTGACAGGCAGAGTGGACAGTGAGAGAGAGAGACAGAGAGAAAGGTCTTCCTTTGCCGTTGGTTCACCCTCCAATGGCCGCCGAGGCCGGCGCACCGCGCTGATCCGATGGCAGGAGCCAGGATCCAGGTGCTTTTCCTGGTCTCCCATGGGGTGCAGGGCCCAAGCACCTGGGCCATCCTCCACTGCACTCCCTGGCCACAGCAGAGGGCTGGCCTGGAAGAGGGGCAACCGGGACAGAATCCGGCGCCCCGACCGGGACTAGAACCTGGTGTGCCGGCGCCGCTAGGCGGAGGATTAGCCTAGTGAGCCACGGCACCGGCCAAAATTTCCAGTTTTAAAACTAAACACATGTGCACATCCACATTTACATACAGTTATCATGCCTCACATAACATAATATTGACATTAGCTGCAGTCAACTTTAATCAACATTTATACCCCATTTTTCATATGCCAAAAAGTACTCAGTGGTTTATATTTTCTTTTTTAAAATTTATTTGACAGACAGTGAGAGAGAGAGAGAGAAAGACAGAGAGAAAGGTCTTCCTACCGTTGGTTCACCCCCCAAATGGCTGCCACGGCCGGCACGCTGCGCCGATCCGAAGCCAGGAGCCAGGTGCTTCCTCCTGATCTCCCATGCGGGTACAGAAGCCCAATCACTTGGGCCATCCTCCACTGCCTTCCCGGGCCACAGCAGAGAGCTGGACTGGAAGAGGAGTAACCGGGACTAGAACCCGGTGCCCATATGGGATGCCAGTGCCGCAGGCAGAGAATTAACCAAATGAGCCACGGCACCGGCCCCTATATTTATTTTCTTATTTGATCTTCACAGCAACTCTATAAGAAGAATATATATATATATATACTCACACATATATATGCATATATATTTAAAAATTTACTTGAAAGGCAGTTAGAGAAAGAGAGAGAGCGAGAGAGCATGCATACACGCTATCTTCCAACCACTGGTTCATTCCCCAAACGGCTATAACTGCCTGGGTTGGGCCGAACTGAATCTGGGAGCCAGGAATCCCATCTGGATCTCCCATGTGGGTGGCAGAGGTCCAAGCACTTGAGTCGTCTCCACTGCTTTACCAGGCAAGTTAGTGGGGAGCTGGAGTTCATATGGGATGTTGGCATTGCAAATAAGTTATGGCTTAACCCACTTCAGCCTAGCCCTACCGTGGCTGTTGTGGTCATTTAGGGAGTGAACCAGCAGATGAAAGACCTTTCTCTGTTTCTCTTCTGTTGTCACTCTGCCTTTTCAATAAACAAACAAAGTAAAAATAAAAAGAATGCTTTTAAGTTAAAGGAGCTTACAATATTATACACAATAATCACTTGGTCTCATTCAATTTTTATGTGCATGCTAAAAATGTAGAGGTATAAATTTATTGTACTTTTACTGTATGCTATTATCTTTTTATAAATTATTGCTTCAGTGCATTAAGTAGAAAATTCTACTAATTACATTTTGTAGAGAAAAAGGTTTTATTCACTGGTGCTATATTAGAGGTTATAAACATGATTGAGTGGGAAAACACCAGACTTTTGACTCTCTTAGTGGGGTGGGGAAGGGAATAACCTACCTCAAAAAACTTAAGAATTAAGTGAGATATTTTATGGTAAGAGGACTGTTATAGGGACTGCTATACGGTAAGTACTTAAAAGACATTAGTTCTCATTTTTCCTTAAAATGTCATAAGGATACAACGACAAATTCTGGTTGGGTAGAGAAAAGGGATTTTTATTTTTTGAGGAGATAGCACTTAAAGCAATCAGTGAAAGATGAGGGCGTTAGAGACAGGTAGAGCCTTTCAGGTAGGATGAGGAGAGGAAGGGGTGTGTTTAGGTGACTGTAAACTGGCTCAGCTGCCTGGACAACAGGCCACTGTACCGCAATCTGTATGTGATTCTACGAAGATGAGCTGAGGCCTCATCTGCAGGCCTGGAATTTACAGCTCAAGAGTCTGGGCTGTACTATGAAGTCAACAGAAAATCAGATTATTTTTTCTTTTGGGTACATGATATGGTTAAGAATCATGCGAATAATGACTTGAAGAGGAAGACCATCTAGATGAGAAGAACAATTAGAAGCACCTTGCAATATCTCAAGAAAGGAATAATGAAGAGCTAACATCTGTCAGGTATTATAGGGAGCTAAGGAGACACTGAATTAGAATGAAAAAAATCATAAATGTTTGGCTGAAGAGAAAGGAATAATGTCCTCATTTTGGTAATTGGAGGAACAGAAGGTGTTCCTTACCAAAGACAGGGAATGGAGCAGAAAAAAACATTCATAAAGAACAAACATTTATGTATACAACAGCCTAAAACTTGCATGTAACATTTTATTTTTACTTCAACAATAAACTGTTTATCATTTTGTCCCAAACTGAGAATACAATCTTGTAATGTATAATAACAAGGGAACCGTCATGAATGCTGACATCACAAAAGCATAATGTGTAGGCCATTAAGCTATCAGATTTGAAATATAAAATTATTGAAGAATCTTTCATAAAGTAATAATAATGAGAAATTGCTTACTTGAATAATTTTCAAGGGAGAATCAGGCTGATAAATCTGAAGTCTAGGTACATAATGAACCAACATATGAAGCATGTTACAAGCCACATGGGCTACTGTTTTATTAGTAAACTGCAATGAAAACAACAATAAAACATTAGAAAAATCTTCTTTGCTGTTTATTCATTAATGTATTGGCTACTGAAAAAAATTTAAATTTCATACGTGTTTCTTTATGTCATCCTACATTTATGAGTATTTATTAAAATATTAGGAAAATCAATGTACAAGTTTTTGAATCTAAAAAATATCATAACACTTTCCCAAAACACATCCATGTAGAGTGACTTTTTTATTTCTAATGTCTGACTGTCCTCATTAAAGTTTTATTGTATTTTTTCTTACCTGGATTTCTCCAACAGCCTTTTGTACTATTAATCTTATCAGTTTTTCCCTATTCTACTCCACTATTCATAACACTTGCAAGTCAAGTCAGTCTTCTAAAGCAATGCTCTGACCCTCACCTCAAATTCCCTAGAATATCACTCTCAGATGGGTCCCCAAAGGCATACTGTCAAACTTTTAATGCTATCTTCCCATATCCAAATTTCACCTCCTTTCTAAGACATGATGAAATGTTTCCTCTTTGCCAAGTATTCTCTAATAACTAAGTCAAAGTCAACTATGCTTTCATGAACTCGATCAACAGTTTATATGTTCCACTCATTTATTATTCTCAGCTTTATATATTTTATTTTTCTTATATCTTTCTCAGCAATTATATTTTTAATCTCTTGAAGCAAGTATTTAAAGTTCTTAAATTCTGATATCCTTTACTTCACCTAGCAAAGTGCCTAAAACATAGTATATATTCAGAACTAACTTTAAGTAAATATTATTCAAAAATATTTATTAGATATTTCATACAATATATTAGTGCTCTGGATATTACAAATCCTAAGATAAAGTATCATATTTTTATAAATAAAATATCCATTTATTCAAATTCCCTAAATAATTAGATCATTATTTCTGAACAAATCTTTTCCTAGAGACAAGAACATATTTAACTTGAATGATAAAGTCAAAAGTTGAACATCTGAAGAATACACAAAGTGATAAAGGTAAAAACATTACAAAAATATTAGTTAAAAATGCAAGCATACAAAAAATCCTTATGGTTTTCTTTTTAGGAGTAATCCATAAGCATCCTAGGAACAAAGCCAAATAAATAAAAATTTAAGATAACAGAGTCATCACAAAGATACTCAGAATTAAAGAGTGGGACTAGTCTTAAGGAAAGGGTCACAATCAAGGCAATAATAAAGTAAGTAATGAAAATGTAAGGACACAGATAGAATTGACATTTGGAGAAAAAAAATCATGCATTCATTTCTAATATATTTCTCAACAATTTTCTTTACCTTTAAGGAAACACAGATTACATTCAGGGCTTCCTTAATTTGTGGATGATGAGACTCATGGACTAGTTCTTCACAAATCCAAATACCTAAACTGCAAAGAGCTACACATCTGCAAAAAAGTACACAAATAAAAGTGGATGAGCCTGTAGATAAAATTAAATCACGACCAAAACAAAGATCCATAATCAAATGACATAGGATGAACATGTAATGTATTAAGTGAATTTTATCAGTTTATTACTCTATATATTAGCTGGTGACTAAGGAGGAAAAAGTGGGAAGAAAGCACATACCCAAAACTCTAAGCCTAATTTTCCATTCTATTTTACTATTAAGACCACAGGCTGGGATAAAACACAGCACTGAGGCTGGTGCTATGGCACAGCAGGTTAAAGCCCTGGTCCGCAGTGCCAACATCCCATATGGACACCAGTTCAAGTCCCGGCAGCTCCACTTCCATTCCAGCTCTCTGTTATGTTCTGGGAAAGCAGCAGCAGATGGCCTAAATCCTTGGGCCCCTGCGCCCAAGGGAATGGGAGACCTGGAAGAAGCTCCTGGCTCCCGACTTCGGATAGGGGCAGCTCCGGCCGGTTGCGGCCATCTGAGGAGTGAACCAGCGGATGGCAGACTTCTCTCTCTCTCTCTGCCTAGCTCTATAACTCTGTCTTTCAAATAAATAAATAAATATTAAAAAAAAATACACAGCATCTTTCTAACAGATCCAAGTTAATAAACTAACATTGCAATAAAGCTTCACAAACAAAAATGAGACCTGTTTTCAAAAGCAAAAAGTTGTAATTTTACTGGCTGACAACAAGCAAAATGAGCTTCTTAAGTAAAAACAGGAAGCTGACAGAATAAGTGAAACATCTTTGTGCTTTTTAAGTTTAACACAGCCATAAATTCTTTTTAAAACAAGTTAGAACAAAAAATTTATATAATTTATAAAATTCCAATAGAAACAGAATCTGCAGAATTTCTGTTCTTTTCCCTAATGTCTTGTGAGGCTTCATTTCCCTAGTGACACTAACTTAGCTTGAAGCAAGTTAACAGATAATCAAAAGCAGTAAAAATTCCATCAATGTGTTCAAATTCAAGCTTCTGATCAAGTATATAATAGTTCTAAGTATAAAAACAGTCAACTTCTGGTATCTTGGTATACATAGCAAGTCCTGATACTGATATTCTTAACTTAAATTCAATAGAATGCTAAATTTCAGAACAATTCAAGGTAGGAATATTTTTCTTCCTGAACAAACCAGACCAGAAAGTCATTAAATCCATTATTTTGGTCCAAAATGTTAATGTTCTAAATTTTTTATTATTAAAACTACCAGAAGATCTTCTAAATGAAGTCTAATGCCTTATTTTTTTTTTCTCTACAGTTGCCCATAAATCCTAGGTAATATTAAAGACCTAAATAAACAAGGGAGACAGGAGCCAGGAACTTCATCCGGGTCTCTCTCATGGGTGGCAGGGCCCCAACTATTTGAGCCATCTTCCTCTGCTCTCCCAGGCCGTTAGCAGAGAGCTGGATCGGAAGTAGAGCATCTGGGACACTAACTGGCACCCATATGGGATGCTGGTGTCGCAGGCGTTGACTTTATCTGCTACGCTGGTCCCAAAACAAAAATTTTTAAAAAGATTTAAGAGCTATAAAAAATGGGCTAGCATTGTATCAGACAGAGCAGGTTATGCCGCTGCCTGTGATGCTAGCATCCCACAATGGAGTGCTAGTTTGAGTCTTGGCTGCTCTGGGTCCTAACCAGCTCCCTGCTAATGTGCCTGGGAAGGCAGAAGAAGATGGCCCAAGTACTTGGATCCCTGCCATACATATGGGAAACATGGATGGAGTTCCTGGCTCCTGGTTTCAGCCTGACCCAGCCCTGACTATCGAGACTATTTGCCCTGACTATCCAGACTATTTTGGGGGTGAACCAGAGGATGGAAGATTCATTGTGTGTGTGTGTGTATGTGTGTGTGTGTGTGTTAACTCTGCCTTCCACATAAAGAAAATAAATCTTTTAAAAAGGTATAGGAAAACAAGTTAAGACAATGCTTATGTTCCATGTCTGGGGTTTTTCCATAGTTTCCATAATGCAAGCTTTTTTGTGAATGATCGGAAAATAGGAAGCTTTGCAAAGACGAAGGTCAGAGGTTGAGGATTATGACATAAAATAAGCATCATAAAACATCAAGTATAACCTAATGATACTGTGGGGAAGAGAAGGAACAGCATACCACTGAAAACTTGCTAACTTAAATCTCAAATTTTTGGGGGGGAAAGATTTAGTAAAACAGAGACATTGTCAGTTTTCTACTCTAAACATTATAACAAGGGAAAAAAAATAAAGATCTCATTACTTATACTCTATTAAAATGCTGATCAAATATTTATTAATACTAAAATATACTTCCTTAGATACATTACTTTCTATATTAAAATTTTTATTTTAATTCAAATTAACAAAACAGTCATTGGGTATCTACTATTCCCAGGTATTACATGGGAAACAATAACAAACATAATCTGAAGTGAATACAAAATGTACTTAAATAAAACTAAAACTGAAGTTACAGTGAGGGAAGTTACTGAAAAACACTGACTAGGATTTTAATTTTTTTAATTAAGGAAGGTTAGTATTTAAAATCACGAAAAAAGTAAGGTTAGCATTTAATCATTCAAGTAATTTAAGTTTGTGATTCAGAATGGCTTTTACATGTTTGAAACAATTTGGACTGCTGTAATAATTCAGTCAACTCCTATGTTAAATTACAAATAACACAATACTTATGTTACATCTAGGAAGATCTGACCTACCGTGCAGGACCAGAGGGCTCATCTCTTGCTGAGCTTAATACAGTTTTGACTGTAAGTTCCTAAAAATAAGGGGGGGGATAGTTAATAGCACTGACTAACACTTCATTCGTTCATTCAAAAAACATTCATTTAATGGCCACTGTGTGCCAGGTACAGAAATACAACACTCTTTGTTCTCATGCATATATTTTTACTAAAAAGTCTAATATTATTCATAGAAATAGCTAAACACAGAAAACTTATGAAATTTATAACTGAAAGTATATATTCAAAAATAACCTTTTTCCATTATGTGAAGAGTAATGAGGGCTCACTATAAAACAGATAATTAAAATAGAAGTAATAATTCAAAGTTACAAATGTCTCTTAAAGCCTTTGAGAAATATCATTTAAAAGTCAGGACTGGGGGCCCGTGTTGTGGTGTAAGGGGTTAAGCTACTGCCTGCCATGCTAGCATCCAATATGGACGCTGATTTGAGTTCAGGCTGTTCCACTTCTGATCCAGTTCCCTGCTAATGCACCTGGGAAAGCAGCAGAGGATGGCCCAAGTTCTTTGGCCCCTGCACACACTTGGCAGACCCAAATGAACTTCCTGGCTCCTGGCTTTGGCCTGGCCAACCCCTGGCTGTTGCAGTCATTTAGGGAGTGAACCAGCTGATTGAAGATCTCTCTATCTCTCACACACACTCTCTCTCTAACTCTGGCTTTCAAATAAATGAAATAAATACTAAAAAAACAAAAGTCAGGACCAGATGACTTAACTGGTGAATTCTACCACACAAATAAGAATTAACACCAATCCTTCTTCCAAATAACTGAAGAGGACAGAACTCTTCCAAGTCATTTTATGAGGCCAGAATTACCCTGATATTAAAGTTAGACAAAGATAGTATAAGAAAAAATTATATCAGTATGGGGCCGGCGCCATGGCTCAACAGGCTAATCCTCCACCTAGCGGCGCTGGCACAACGGGTTCTAGTCCCGGTCGGGGCGCCGGATTCTGTCCCGGTTGCCCCTCTTCCAGGCCAGCTCTCTGCTGTGGCCAGAGAGTGCAGTGGAGGATGCCCCAAGTGCTTGGGCCCTGCACCCCATGGGAGACCAGGAGAAGCACCTGGCTCCTGCCATCAGATCAGCACGGTGCGCTGGCCACAGCGCGCCAGCTGCAGCGGCCATTGGAGGGTGAACCAATGGCAAAAGGAAGACCTTTCTCTCTGTCTCTCTCTCTCACTGTCCACTCTGCCTGTAAAAAAAAATAATAATAATAAAAAATAAAAAAAAATAAAAAAATCAGTATGTCTGATGAATATAGATGCAAAAATCTTCAACAAAATACTAGGGAACCAAATTCAACTGCATGCAAGACCATGATCAAGTAAGATTTCCTCCCAGGATGCAAAGATGGTTAAATGTGATAAACAGCATCAACAGAATGAAGGATAAAAATTGTATGATCATCTTAATAGATGGAGACAAAACACTGGATATAATACAACATTCTTTCCTTATAAAAACTCTTGACAAATTAGGTGTAGGAAGAAAGCAACTCATACAGTAAGTGCTAGATATCATTGTACTGAATGGTAAAAAGCTGGACACTTTTCCTCAATGCTGACCCTTGCCACTTCTACTCATCATAGTACTTAAGTCATAGGAAGAAAAATTAGGCAGAAAGGGTTAAAAAAAACAACAGGCATCCATACTAGAAGGGAAGGATTAAAACTGTTTGCAGATGACATGATCTAATACAAAAAAAAATAGACAAAACCTAAAAACTCTACCAAAAACCTATCAGAACTAATAACCAAAGTCAGCAGAGCTACAGGTAATCAAAATAAGTTGCATTTCTATACACTAATCATGAACTACCTGAAAAAGAAATATAGAAAACAGTCCTATTTAGCAACAGCATTAAAAACAAATATCTAGGAATAAATTTAACCAAGGAAGTCAATGATCTATGGACTGGAAGAAGTATTATTGTTAAAATATTATTACTTAGAGCAATCCCATTTCTGGGTATGTATCAAAAGAAAACCAGTATGTCAAAGACATACCTACACTCCCATATTCATTGCAGTTCTATTCACAACAGTCAAAATACGGAAAAATTGTGTTCATCAAAAGACATGGATAGGGCCAGTAAGCGGCTCAGTAGGCTAATCCTCTGCCTGCGGTGCCAGCACCCCAGGTTCTAGTCCCGGTTGGGGTGCCAGGTTCTGTCCTGGTTGCTCCTCTTCCAGTCCAGCTCTCTGCTATGGCCCGGGAGGGCAGTGGAGGATGGCCCAAGTCCTTGGGCCCTGCACCTGTATGGGAGACCAGGAGGAAGCACCTGATTCTTGGCTTCGGATCGGCGCAGCGTGCCAGCCATGGCAGCCATTTGGGGGGTGAACCAACAGAAGGAAGACCTTTCTCTCTGCCTCTCTCTTTCACTGTCTAACTCTGCCTGTCAAAAAAAAAAAAAAAAAAAAAAAGACATGGATAAAAAGAACGTGACACACACAGAAATGATATCCAGCCTTAAAAAAAAAAATAGAAATCTTGTCATCTATGATTACACAGATGAACACGGAGGGCATTATGCTAAGAGAAATAAGCCAGACATAGAAAGACAAATACAGTATGATCTCATTTATATGTGGAGTCCAAAAGGCCAAACTTTTTAATAGCAGAGTAGAATACTAGTTAACAGAATCTGAGGAGTGGGAAAGATGGCGAAATTTTGGCCAAAGGGTACAAAGTTTCTGATACACAGGATGAATAAGTTCTGGGAATCTAAGGTACATCATGGTGACTATATTAACAATACTTTATTATATACTTGAAATCTGCTAATAAAGTAGACCTTAGTTGTCCTCACTCCATCAAAAAATATATAAAGTGATGAATATGCTATAGCTTGATGTTTACTACAATGTCTACATATATCAAGATGTCACATACATCTTAAATAAATTTTTATTTGCCAATTTTACCTCATTAAAGCTGAAAAAAAAATAGCCAGCCTCTTCTTCCTTGATAATTTGTAAAATAAGATAATGTATGAGTTTTCAAATAAGTCACAGAAATTAGCCAAAATTATTTATTTGGACAAAATATTTGAGAAGGTATAGGGAAATAAGTGTACGTTTAGCAAACAGAGAAAAGAAAACTAGTCTATTAAAACAGTCCGAACACTTAAGCCAGAAATGTTACCAAGACAGATCTGTGCAACTAAGTCAGAGATAAGGAGACATGTAGGATTATCAACATCAAAAGGGTCAAATATTTTGTTGGCGGAGGGGAACAACAATGCCATTAAATCTGATAATTAGGAATGTTTTTCTTCATTTAAAAAAAATCACTCATGTGACGGTACTTCAAAAAGTTAATAGGAAGTGAAGTTCAAAGATTTATCTTGCTGCAAAAATTTCTGAAGTCATGAATACAGCAGATCTTCAAAAATTATTATTGCAAAAAAACATGCATGGATTGTAACATGCATTCATTAATAAGTAAATGAAAAGTAACTGGCTCTGGGGCTGGTGTTGTGGCAAAGCAGGCTAAGCCACCACCTTCATCCTATATGGGTGTTGGTTCCATTTCTGATCCAGCTTCCTGCTAATGTGCCTGGAAGGCAGCAGATGACTCAAGTGTTTGGGCCCCTGCCACCCAGCTGGGAGACTGGGATGGAATTCCAGGCTCCTGGCTTCAGCCTGGCCCAGTCCCAGCCCCTGGGTTCACTAGGAGAGTGAGGCAATGGATGGATGATCTTTGTTTCTCCTTCTCTAACTCTGCCTTTCAAATAAATAATAACAACATAAATTTTATATGTAATAAACCCTATATTAGGCACTAGGAATCAGATGACAGTTAAAATATTGTCTCATTGGGGCCAGTGTTATGGCGCAGCGGGTTAAAGCCCTGGCCTGAAGCGCCATCATCCCATATGGGCACCGGTTCTATTCCTGGCTACTCTTCTTCTGATCCAGCTCTCTGCTATAGCCTAGGATAGCAGAAGATGGCCCAAGTCCTTGGGCCCCTGCACCTGGGCTGGACGAAGCTCCTGGCTCCTGGCTTCGGATTGGCACAGCTCCAGCCATTGCGGCCATCTGGGGAGTGAACCATTGGATGGAAGACCTCTCTCTCTCTCTTTTCCTTGTACCTCTCTCTGTAACTCTTTCAAATAAATAAATCTTTTAAAATACATATATATTGTCTCATACTTAACAAGTTAACAGTCCAGGGAGCAGGCATACTTGTAAACAAACACAATTTTAAAACAAACACAAAATTAAAACACAAGATCAATGATATGAAATATCTAGGTAAATCCATAGAGACATGACAGACATCTATTTTGTTGCTGGGAGCTGGGGTAGGGAAGAAAACGGAGTGACTATTAATGGATATAGGTTTCTTTGGAGATAATGGTTACATTCTAGTATTATTTGTGATAATGGATGCACAATTCTCTAACCAAATATTAAGTGGGTTAACTGTAAAAATAGACAAAAAGTCAAACAAAATTATGTGTACATAGTTCCACGTGAGCAAATAGCTCAGCTGGGAAGTCATAAAAGACTTCATAAGGAGATCTTAAATAGAATTCTGACAGATAATCAATGTCAGGGTTAATGATTATATGTGTTTTGAGTGATTAAGAGAGGCAAGAAGAGAGAACAGGAATACATAATGACACTTTAGATACAAGGAAATAGTTTTGCAAAAGCATGAAACTCAGGAACAGTGTGGAAAGTTCCATATGGCTGTAGTTTATACAGTATATGGGGGGATGGTTTCACTGAAAATGCAAAAGTAGGACCTCACTGGCATGTAACTTTCTCCTTAAACCTTTGTTTCCTGACTAAGAACCATTATCATGTATTAGACTTTTTGCTTTCTGAATTCATCAGCATCAAAATTGGCTCTTATTTAAGAATTCTTTCTAGATTAAGTTTAAAACAATCACTGCAGCTGTTACCCATCTACATGGTAGCCAGCAAAGAACAAGACCACTCTGAAACACAGACAGTATGTAGTAGGCTAGGCTAACTTTTTTTTTTTTTTAAAGATTTATTTTTATTTATTTGACAGGCAGAGTTATAGAGAGAGGCAGAGACAGAAAGAGAGGTCTTCCATCCGCTGGTCCACTCCTCAGATGGCCGCAACGGCAGGAACTGCGTTGATCCAAAGCCAGGAGCCAGGAGCTTCTTCCGGGTCTCCCACGCAGGTGCAGGGGCCCAAGGACTTGGGCCATCTTCTACTGCTTTCCCAGGCCATTGCAGAGAGCTGGATCGGAAGAGGAGCAGCTGGGACTAGAACCAGAGCCCATGTGGGATGCCGGCGCTTCAGGCCAGGGCTTTAACCAGCTGCGCCACAGCGCCGGCCCCTAGGCTAACTTCTAACTCAAACTAAGATAATTAAGACTATTACACATCCTTTAATTTCAAGGATATTTTGAAAATCAAATCAAAGCTATTGCATCCATGAAGAGCAAAGGTTCATTTGTTTTTATTAAGTGTTGCTGCAAATTTTCATTGACCCATATTATTTTAGGGGAAGTCAAGTTCACTTGTTCAATAGATGATTTCTAAGTAAATCCCTTGTGTCAAACAGTGCAGTGAGTTAGGCTACCAAGAAAGCAGAAGGGGCCGGCGCCGTGGCGCAGTGGGTTAACGTCCTGGCCTGAAGTGCCAGCATCCCATGTGGGCGCCGGTTCCAGACCCGGCTTCCCCACTTCCGATCCAGCTCTCTGCTATGGCCTGGGAAAGCAGAAGATGGCCCAAATCCTTTTGGGCCACTGCCCCTGAATGGGAGACTCGGAAGAAGCTCCTGGCTCTTGGCTTCAGATCGGCACAGCTCCAGCCATTGCGGCCATCTGGGGAGTGAACCATTGGATGGAAGACCTCTTTCTCTCTCTCTCTCTGCCTTTCCTCTCTCTGTGTAACTCTGACTTTCAAATAAATAAATAAATATTATATAAAAGAAAGAAAGAGCAGAAAAGAAAGACTTTGTGGTGTTTACCTGTCTAAAATAGAAGTCAGGTATTAAACAAGTAATTAATAGTATGGTAAAAATTACAAGAAAAAAAAACCACCATACGGACACCTCAGTCATAAACTGTACTTCAAAAAGTCTTTCAAGAGAAAGCAAGTGTTTGGGGGCCGGCGCTGTGGCACAGCAGGTTAAAGCCCTGGCCTGAAGTGCCGGCATCCCATATGGGCGCTGGTTCTAGTCCCAGCTGCTCCTCTTCCGATCCAGCTCTCTGCTATGACCTGGGATAGCAGTAGAAGATGGCCCAAGTGTTTGGACCCCTGCACCTGCGTGGGAGACCCGGAAGAAGCTCCTGGCTCCTGGCTCCAGATTGGCACAGCTGTGGCCGTTGCGGACATCTGGGGAGTGGACCAGCAGATGGAAGACCTCCCTTTCTGTCTCTACCGCTCTCTGTAACTCTGTCTTTCAAATAAATAGAATAAATCTTCAAAAAAAAAAAAAATAAAGAGAAAGTAAGTTTTAAAAATCCATCAACATGCCTTACAAGGTACTATAATTTCACCCTTCCAACTCTTGTCATAATTCCAGGGATCAATTCAGGTTAACTATGGAGACAATCTGGCAATTACTATGGCAGGCAAAACTTCTCAGGATTATTAAACTGCTCAACTTTGAGAACACAGACATTCTATTAGATGTATGTCTTCACTTAGTGATGGAATTATTCAAGACAAGGCAAATTTCTGGAATCAAAGCACTGACTACCTTTATTGAATGAGGAGAATTTTTCACATCACTCCCCTCTACCAAGGTCTAAGAATTACTGGGGGCCAGCGCTGCGGCTCACTAGGCTAATCCTCTGCCTGCGGTGCTGGCACCCTGGGTTCTAGTCCCAGTCGGGGCACTGGATTCTGTTCCGGTTGCTCCTCTTCCAGGCCAGCTCTCTGCTGTGGCCCGGGAAGGCAGTGGAGGATGGCCCAAGTGCTTGGGCCCTGCACCCGCATGGGAGACCAGGAGAAGCACCTGGCTCCTGGCTTCGGATCAGCGCGGTGTGCCAGTCGATCGCGCTGGCTGCAGCGACCATTGCGGGGTGAACCAATGGAAAAAGGAAGACCTTTCTCTCTGTCTCTCTCTTTCACTGTCTAACTCTGCCTGTCAAAAAAAAAAAAAAAAAAAAAAAGAATTATTGGGTCCAGAAGACTAAAAAGGCTGATCACATCAAATATCCCCTTCAAACAGAGGCTGACCTCCGCAACGGCACAAAATGGGTTTCACCATGCTTTTGTCTGAAAATTTAAAAAAGGCTTAAAAACAAGGGTCATTTAGCATATCAGCTCCTCAATGGACACAATTTTCTCCCCTCACTCCCATTTTTTTTTTTTTCATTCTAGGATTAATATCTGGGGCAGAGGTGGGTATTTGACAGAGGTGGCAGTTCAGGTGCAGATTTGGGATGCCTGAGTCCCATATCAGAGAACCTGAGTTCAGTTCCTACTCTGGTTCCTGACTGTAGCTTCCTGCTAACGCAGACCCTGGGAGGCAGTGGTGACGGCTCAAGTGATTCAGTTCCTGCCACAGGGAGACTTGAAGTTAGTTCCAGGCTCCTGGCTTTTGCCCCCTGGGTGTTGCAGCATTTGGGACATGGACTGGCAGATGGGAACTTCATCACTCAAATCAATAAATTTTTTAAAAAATAGGATAATTTCCATTGACAATTTTATAGCCACACTGTTAATTTTGTACCATCTACCATTCAAGCCTTTTCATGCTTCAGGTACATAAGGTCTTAACCCCATTCCATAGTTTCCTACAGCAGTACAGAAGTTTACAACACTTTGGTTTATTCATCATACTGAGAACTCGGGAGAGGAACAGAGTCAAATGTGCAAATTTAACTTGGTCTCTCAACCCTGGAAGCTGTATAGTAGCAGCTTAGCATCTGTCTTATGTATGAATAAATGTTCAGCAAACAAATGAACTAATTCTAAAAAGTGACATGTGAGTAGGTTCAATAAGGAGAAAAAGGTTACTAAGCAATTTTAAACACAGAGCAAGTGATCCTCCTAATGGACACCCCAGCTTTTGTGCCCAGAGGACACAGCTGGTTAATTTCTTTAATTGCTATGTATATTTCAAAAAGAACAAAAAGAATAAAAATTTTATTACACATGTTCTATGATTATCAAATTACTTAAATGCTGAAAGTTAGCGTTTCAGCATCTCGTTTCTTACCTTAACATCTGTAAACTGAGACACAGCAATATCAGGAATGTTGGGATGGAGAGCAGGCAGTTCACAATATAAGTTGGGAAAGCAAACCAAAGATCCCAGAAGAACTTGTGCTTCCACTCTTGGTGCCTATGTACCAGATTTATTTAAAAATCCTTAAAATATATTTAATTATATGAAATACATTTTACTTTACTATCCAATGCTATTATATAGGGAAGGGAGAATATAAAACAAAATCCAAAAAGGAAAAGGGGCATACAAAAAGATTTAGGTTTTCATCTATACTTTCCACATGAAGTGCTACTATTCTAAATAAACACAAAGGTCAAATTGCATAACTTTCCTCAGAAGTAGCTAATAAGCAGAAACCAGACACAGTCAGTGAGACTGTAAATAGGAATACAGCTTAGCCACCATCCACAAAGTTACTCTAAGTATAAAGAAAAATATAAATACATTAATTTTAAAGGTAACTCATATATTGTGATATGCTGTTCTAATGAGCTCATGACTTAACATCACTGGGTTGCACTTGTTGCTACCTAAGGACAGTTTTTATCACCTAGGTGCTTTTTACATTACCATGCATGAAGAAACACACTGCCTCTACTATTTAGTAAAAATCAACACTAAAATGTATTTCTGGACTGCAGATGAAGTAACTTTTCAACTCTTTTCTTTGTATTAAGCCACTTATTTAAAATCAGTACTGAATGCTTTATTCTCTTCTCCCTTCTTGTATTCCCATTAAATACCAACATCTCCCAACTAATACATTGTTTTATTTACTAAAACACCTGCAAAAATACTCAATAAAATGGTAAACCCAAGTATATTAGAAATGTAATACTTCTAGTTACATAAATCAGGACCCAATCTCCAAAAAGATTTCATTTTAATAAGTATTATAATAGAAGAAATGTAGTAGTACTCTATTATGTGACTTTCAACAAAATGACTCATTTCTGAATTGAAAAATAACACCGATTTACAGATCCAAAGTAGCAGTATTTAGCGGCAGAGTAAGCTTGCAACTATCAACCCCATTTAAAAGTTATCCAATATTGGGGCCAGCGCTGTGGCATAGCGGGTAAAGCTGCTGCCCACAGTGTTGGCATCCCATATGGGCACCAGTTCGAGTCCCGGCTGCTCCACTTCTGATCCAGCTCTCTGCTATGGCCTGGGAAAGCAGTGGAAGATGGCCCAAGTCCTTGGGCCCCTGCACCCACATGGTAGACCCAGAAGAAGCTCCTGGCTCCTGATCGGCACAGCTCCTCTGGCTGTTGCGGCCAACTGGGGAGTGAACTGGAGGATTGAAGACTCTCTCTTTCTCTCTGTCTCTTTCTCTGCTTCTCCTTCTCTCTCTGCTTCTCCTTCTCTCTGTGTAACTCTTTCAAGTAAATAAATAAATCTTTAGAAAAAAAAAAAAGTTGTCCTATAAGGGCAGGCATTTAGTCTAGTGATATAGACATCCACATCCCAAATTAGAGTGCCTGAGTTTGACACCCAGCTCTGGCTCCTTCTCTTCACTCCAGCTTTCTGCTCATGCAAACCGTGGGAGGCAGCCATGATGGCATTCCTGTCACACACATGGAAGACCCAAACTGCATCCTTGCTCCCCTCTCTCCCTCTTCAGAGAGGAACCAGCTGATGGGAGTTCTCTCCCTTTCAAAAAAATTAAAGTAGATAAGCAAAGTATATAACTCAAAGTATTTTTTTTTAAAAAATAAGCTAGTCCGTAAGAATTAAACTGACAGGGACAGGCATTTGGTTCAGTGGTTGGAAACTGCCTGGAGTGCCAGCACTTAATATCCTAGGTGCCTGGATTGGAGTCCCAGCTCTACTCCTGATACCAGGTTCCTGCTGGTGTTCACTCTGGAAGGCAGCAGGTAATTGCTTAATAGGTTGGGTCTCTACAGGAGATCTGGATTAAATTCTTGGTTCCCAGGCACATACGAGGTCTCCCTATCTGTCCATGTCTCTCTCTCTTCGCCTTTCAAATAAAAATACACATTTTTTAAAAACTAGCAAAAAAAATCAGTATTTAATGAAAGAGATCAGCTAAGAAATTTTTCTGTAAAGGTAAATGAGGTGGGGCTGGCATTGTGGCATAGCAGGTAAAGCTGCTGCCTATATCCCTTATAGGTGCCGGTTCGAGTCCAAGCTGCTCCACTTCCTATCCAGCTCTCCGCTATGGCCTAGGAAAGCAGTGAAAGATGGCCAAAGCTATGGACATACCCTGCACCCATGTGGGAAACATGGAAGAAGCTCCCGGCTACTGGCTTCAGATCAGTGCAGTTCCAGCTGTTGTGGCCAATTGGGGAGTGAACCAGTGGATGGAAGACCTCTCTCTCTCTGTAACTCTTTCAAATAAATAAATGAATCTTAAAAAAAAAAAAAAAAAGGTAAACGAGATAACTGGGAATGTTCAAGTATGAGGAAACCATGGAGGCAAGATCTGGAATGTGAGTGTAATTAAGAAAAGCCAAAACCAAGCCTATTATTCTATAATCCATCTAAGGACTGAAAACATTAAAAAAAAAAGAACTTAATACGCATTGGATCTAAAATGGGAATCCAAAGACCAAGATTTGGACCTGGTATTTCCAACATCAACCAGAAGAAAAGACTGTTCTTAACCTTACTGCAGAAATACATAAGGTTTAATGCCTGCAATTACTGTTTTCTCTTTAGTCCCTTTCAGTAAGTATTCTGCTCTTCTGTGAATCAGATAAAACAGAAAATATCTACTTTCTAAATTTTCCCAAGGATGCTACATAACCAACATCTTTCTAGATGCATAGGAGATAAGTTAATCAGCCACATGAAAGGATGCCTTAGGATCTTAGGGCTTATTTCTTCTGCAAAACCTTGAAAGAACCTGCAGGAAATGTGCTGACTAGTCATCTGGAATAATTAGCCCACTGAACAGGAACAGTTTACACTGTGTATTAATGGAAAGTGACACTGGTTTATACAATTGTCTCCTCTGAGTTCTATCAATTTTTTGCCAGGATCCATGAGACTGACAAGATGTGTACACTGATAATAGTACAATAACCTTCTAATTTGTTTATCACCTTTGGTTTGTCTTCCATTTAATCTACTCCTACATTAATACACTTAAAATTCCCAAAGCACAGACTCAACCATTTCTCCTCATCTTAAAAAATTTAATGGTTTAAATAATATTCTCATCAGTGGCATCGCAGACATTCCAAGATAGAAGCTAAAGCAGTGCTTCTCAATCTTTAATCACAGACTTGACCCATCATTTGTGATTTAGTTAAAATGTATGTCGTAGATGGGATCTGAGACTCTGCATTGCTATTAAGAAGCTAGATCATGTCCAGTGTTTCTGGTACACAGTCCACACTTCGGGTAGCAAGGATCTAATATACCTTTCTGGGGTCTGGAGCTGTGGCACCGGGAATTAAGCTGCTGCCTGCAGTGCCAACATCCCATATGAGCACCAGTTAAGAGTCCCAGCTGCTCCACTTCAGATCTAGCTCCCTGGGAAGGCCACAGAAGATGGTTCAAGTGTTTGGGCCCTTGCCACCCATGTGGTAGACCTGAATGGAGTTTCTAAGTTCCTGGATTCAGCCTGGTCCAATCCTAGTCATTGTGACTGGTTAGGGAATGAACAAACAGAGAGAAGATCTCTCTTGATCTCTTTGTAACTCTGCCTTTTAAATAAACAAAAAAGAAATTTTTTTTAAAAAAGTAGCTTTCCATTCTGTCCACTACATTTTTTGCAGACTAATTGGCCTCTAAACAAATTACTTATTTGTATATAAATACTTATTTGTATATAAATATGTTCCTTCAACATATTTTACTAATGCCCATTAAGCCTTCCTTACCTCCATTCTTATTATGAACCTTTTAGGCACTTACGCTTATCTTTTTCTAATGAAACTGTCAAGATATGCATAAGCATAGAAGCTCTCTCCTTCCTCTGAATTACTAAATAAACAAATTCTTCTACTGCACATATAATGTGATGTATAATATTCCAACCATGTTACTAATCCTTATTAAATAATCCTACAAGGCAGATTATCTCTAATTTATAGACGAAGAACGAGAAACTAAGCAACTTGCCAAGGTAACACAACTAAGCAGCAGACCTAAGATCTGAACTCAAATTGGCTCCAGGCTTCCATGTTTTTATTCACTTGCTAATATGCTTCTTCTTGTACTGGTAACTGTTTGATGCTCTATATGCTATAGTTGTATACTTTCCTATCCCCCCCAGCAAGCAATGATCCACACCTAATTTATTCCATTTTCTCTCTCTCTTTTTTTTTTTTTGACAGGCAGAGTTAGACAGTGAGAGAGAGAGAGAGAAAGGTCTTCCTTCCATTGGTTCACCCCCCAAGTGGCCACTACAGCCAGAGCTGCGCTGATCTGAAGCCAGGAGCCAGGTGCTTCTCCTGGTCTCCCATGCGGGTGCAGGGCCCAAGCACTTGGGCCATCCTCCACTGCCTTCCCGGGCCACAGCAGAGAGCTGGACTGGAAGAGGAGCAACCGGGACAGAATCCGGTGCCCCGACTGGGACTAGAACCCAGGGTGCCAGCGCCGCAGGCGGAGGATTAGCCAAGTGAGCCATGGCACCGGCCAATTTATTCCATTTTCATTTGTATTCCACTCACAGGAACATTTTGCACACAAAAGGGGAAGACATTTAATAACCACAAAAGAGCTCAGCACAAAGCTGAAACATACTACACTCTGAATAATTATATATTCAAGCAAGAAACACCTGAGGTAGGGTTTTAAGATACCACTTGGGGGCTGGTGCTGTGGTGCAATAGGTCAATCCTCTGCCCATCCCATATGGGCACCGGTTCAAGTCCCAGCTGCTCCTCTTCTGATCCAGCTCCCTGATATGGCCTGGGAAAGCAGTGGAAGATGGCCCAAGCCATGGGCCCCTGCACCCACGTGGGAGACCCAGAAGAAGCGCCTGGCTTCAGATCAGCGCAGCTCTGGCTGTTGCAGCTATTTGGGGAGTGAACCACTGATGGAAGACCTCTCTCTCTCTGCAACTCTTTCACATTTAAAAAAAAAAAAAAAGACACAGCTTGGGACTCCTGCATCCTACACTAGAGTGCCTGGCTTCAAGTCTGGCTCCTTCTGATTTTAGCTTCCTGTTAATGTGTTAATGTTAATGCCTTCCTTGGTCCCTGCTGCCCACATGGGAGACCATGACTGAGTTCCCGGCTCCTGCTTTTGCCCTAGCCCAGCTGTTGTTGTAGGTGTTTGGAGAGTGAAACAGCAGATTAAAGATCGCTTTCTCTGGATCTCTATTTCTCTCTGTCTTTCACATATATAAAAATTTAAATAAATAACAAACACCTACTAAGTATGGGGCTTTGCTGGTGCCTGGATAAGTAAGACACAATCACTGTTCTCAGGGAACTGGAGAAACAGGGTTAGATAATGAGCTATAAACACATGTGCTTCTCTTCTTTATTTGTACATTTTCTCTTAGCAACTGCATCTAGTTCTATAAGGTAATGTCTCCCAGTTTTGTAATTTCAGGCTCTACATCTCCCTTGAGCTCTTGACTTACATATGCAATCATTTTGCTGATATCTAATATGCATCTTACTATGCCCCAAACAGAACTCCTTCTTTCACTGTTGGTGTTTTCCAGTTTCTAAGTTAAATAATCTATGTTAACCTGCTTTGCAAGGTATATGCTACCCAAATGTTATTCTCTCCCAAATATTCTTAATTTTTTCCAGTAGGCTTTTAGTGCTCCAGAATGATCTTTCCAAAACACAAATTTGATGATGTCACTCCTGGCTTGAAATTCTTCGATGGCTCACCCATTCCTTGGTCAGGATAAAATCTGTCTCAGCACTGTGAATACAGCTACTGCATTCCTCTCTAGCTCACCACGGCCACTTATATATGAACATATTCCAGCTATCCTGATTCGCTTGGCATTATCTCACACTTCTATGTGTGAAAAATCCTCACGTACAGTATTAGTTTAGACTTTACTCTCAGGACATGATTTAGGTTACCTCATTACTGCTGCTTTTTTTCTCCTTTTTTCTAAATTAAAAAAAAAATCATCCAATAAAGATTGAATATTACATGATGATTTGAAATATTTCCACATCATGCCATGATTACTCACCACTATTTCTTACTTCACCTTTTCTACCAGTTTGTTGCCTTTTCTTTGCCTCCCTTCCTTCCTTTCTCTGTTTCTTTAGATTTCCTCAAATTAAATCATGTTTTGGGGTGGGTCTTGTGGCATAGTAGGTTAAGTGACAGCTCTGGATACCTGCATCAAATATCGGAGTCCCCGTTCAAGTCCTGACTCCTCTACTTCCAATCCAGCTTCCTGCTAATGCATCCTGGGAGGCAGCAGATGCTGGTTTAAATACTTGGGCCTCTGCCACTCATGTGGGAAACCCAGATGGAGCTCTGGGATCCTGGTTCTGGCTTGGCCCTGCCCTGCCTATTGTGGACATTTGAGGAAGGAACCAGCAAGTGGAGGATATCTCTCTGTCCATCTGTCTCTCTCTGTCACTTCTGACTTTCAAGTAGATAAAAATAAAACAAATTGGCTTCTTATTGATGTAATCTATTTTTATTGCTTCTGAAACCATGCATCAACTAATTTCAGTAATTTCTTATACTTCAGCATTTTTTCTTCATTTTTTAATGTGAGAGAAGCAATCAATTCTAATTAAACTGTAAACTTTCTTGAACATTGGCTTGTTATATTTTATTAGCAATAGTTCTTCTGCTGCTTTGTTAGTTCACTCCTGATTAATTGAAGTTTTTATTGTTATGAAGAACAGGAAATAAAAACTTACATTGAGAAAAGCTGAAGAAGCCACCCTACCAGCTGCTACAATAAAATCCATAATAAGCATTGTGGCACCAGGCAAACCAAGTGAAAAAAATTGAGGTGAGCAGTGCTTGATGATTGTATTGACAATATCCTGAGAATAAAGAGAGAGGGGAAAAAGAATATCAGACATGTAATCTTGGCTATCAGCTAATCAATATGCTTAAAAATAGATAATATAAGAAATAAAAAAAGGTAATTACTGCACATTGACTGATTGGAAAGTCTAATTTTCATTTTCCCAAATAATCCATGCTTAGTATTATATTCTGTCAAAGGAAGTTAACTTAACACACATTTGTTTCGCATAAATAACAGCATGTTTTTACACTAGAGAGCTTCAGAGGGTTAAAAAATCTAAGGTCACTCATTATAAAACTGAATTACAGAGTAGCTTCCCTCATCACCTGAATTCTTCCCAGTAATAACATCTCTGAAGCCACATGATCTGCTGTGTGACAACTGGAAAGATCCTCCTTTTTATATAAACTAAAGTTCTCTCATGATCCATCTAGCTAGTATCAGAAATCTAAATGTAGGTACTTTAAAGGAGTATTCTTAAGTGGTTATTCATTCACTTTGTCTTTGCTTGTATTTCACAATTTGGCATATCTTAAACAAAAGCTATTTTTTTTTCTAGTAATAAAGGCTGTCAGTTTATGTGAGACATGTTCATATGAATTAATTTTCAATAAGTAAAACAGGATTTTTTTATTTTTAGAGATATATTTAACAATTTTAAAATTAATTTAATACTCTCTAAAATGACCTGCAAGTGAAATTTATCCACATTAGGATAAATATATATATATATATATATATATATATATATTACTTTGCTACACATATTAGTTTTCTGGCCAAGATCAAGACTGTGTAGAGTAATATTCAAATCTAGAGTCATAGTTATGACTACTTGGTGACTGTGACTGATACAATTGCCAAGCCAAAGTAATTGTTGCTATGCCAATATAATCAGTGATAAGAAAATGTGTTGTGCTGATTCTTTAAGATTTATTTATTTATTTGGAAGTCAGAGTCACAGAAAGAGAGGGAGAGACAGAGAGAGATCCTCCCACCTCTGGTTCATTCCCCAAATGGCCGCAACAGGGTTGTGCCAGCCTGAAGCCAGAAACCAGAAGCCAGAAGTTTCTTCTGGGTCTCCCATGTGGATGCAGAGACCTAAGTGGATTGGGTTGTACTCCGCTGCCTCCCTAGACACATTAGCAGGGAGCTAGATCAGAAATGGAGCAGCTGGGACTTGAACTGGTGCCAATATGAGATGCCTGCATTGCAGGCAATGTCTTTACCTGCTACACCACAACACCAGTCCCAGATGTGCTGATTCTTAAACTGAAATAAACCTCTGGCTGTACCATGACTAGATAAACAAATCTACAGGACTCAAGTATTAACAAGTAACAAATAAAAAATGCCTAAGAATGGGTACACTGGGACATGAAAGAAAGATGTCGTCAACTTAAGCGATAGATTTAATTTCTTCAAAAAGTGAAGTCAGTGGTTTCACACTAAACAGAAAGAAAGGGGCCAGTACTGTGGCACAGCAGGTTAAGCTGCTGTCTGCAGTGCTGGCATCCCATGTGGGTGCCAGTTCAAGTCCCGGCTGCTCCATTTTCTGATCCAGCTTTCTGATTATGTGCCTGGGAAAGCAGCAGAGGATGACCCAAGTCCTTAGGCCCCTGAACCCATTAGGGGTGATCCAGAAGAAGCTCCTGCCTCCTGAGTTTGGCCTGGCCCAGTCCCTACTGTGTGGCCATTTGGGAGTGAACCAGTAGATGGAAGTTTTTTCTCTCTCTCGCCTTCTTTCTGTAACTCTGCCTTTCAAATAAATAAACAAAAATCTTAAAAAAAATAGAGAGGAATACTCAAATCAGTCCTCTATTTTCAGCAGCTTGTTATTCAGCTCTGTTGTAAGAATAAACAAGGTCATGAAAAGTACATAATATATAAACCACTACACAAAGGGGAGTTTTAATTCTAGACCTTAAAAATAAGAGTGAAACAGAATCTAGAATCAAAGATAAACTGATAAAACAACTTTTTAGAAGTATACATATTTACCTGATCAATATGAAGTAATCCGCAATGCATTATATTGTAGAAATGTGTCAGAAAATCTCTATTTGGAGATACATCTTGTCTTCTTTTCATTGTATTACAAATAAGCTTATAAGCATGTAGTTTACCTTGCTTATATTTATCAGTCAACATAGTTGCCTAAAGTTAAGAGATCAGTTTTAATACTCAGAACCAAATACTGTTCACTAAATACTTAAATGATTGAATATAGCAAACAATATCTTTGTTTTCATTCATTTCTGTGTTGATCCAGTGTCTTTAAGGAACTAAAATTCAGGAGCACTGAAACTATTCTTATCAATCAAAATGATATAATGTAGATATGAATAACTATAAACTGTCTCACTTAAGAAAATGTCCAAACACATCAAGTAATATTTAAAAGAATTAAATCTTTAAAAACAACAAAGCATATTTTCTGGTATAACTTTTTTATTTCACTTAAATAATAAATTTTTAGTATCTTTGTTTCATTAAATATGCAAATAAACATGAAGTATCCTCTAAAATAATGTATCCATGCCCTCTCTCTTTTCTATAAAATGCCTAAGAACTTGCCAAAGGATATGAGTTGAAAAGTTAAGAGCTCTGTAAGCCTATGTAATAGCTGAAATTTCTGCCAAATGTTTTAGACTTATTTAATAAATGAAAAATGAAAACTAACATCTTATATGTTAAGCCTACCTTAAAAAGCCAAGGGGTAAGAATTCTCAGTGGAGGAATCAAAACTGGTGGAGAAGGGGAGGTCAGGTTATCAGTTGAAATGCCGAGGTTATCTCTAATCTGTAATTGTCGAATAAAAAGTAACAAAGCTATGAAAGCTGTTTCTCTTCCACGTGGCCTGAACTTACAGTTGAAATTCACTTTCTGCCACTAACTAGATAATCAATTACAATTCAGTGACTCCAATATGCTGGCTGCCAGTCTCTCAAGGGGTCTGTGTGTGACAGTGTTTGCTAAGGCCTCTTCTATTTCTTAACACTTTATTTTTCTTTCCTTCTTAATTAATGTCTTTTATTTTCTTTTTTACCTTAGCCAGATTCTGCCAAAGTTCACAGAGGTAATCAAACACTTGAGCATGTATTTCAGGATCCATAATGGCATTGACATCTCCCAAAATGCCTAGCATTCTACGCCACATGACAGTAGCAACGTCAGCATGCCATCCGGTGAGTGTGCCCCCTGCCATCACACTACAACATTCAGATGGAAATTCACTAATTTCTGTAGAAAAACATAATACAATAGTGTAATTTTTCAGAGAACTGACAAAAAACCACAAAGAACCAACTGAAATTAATAATCTTAAATATCTACGAAAGTCAACAAAAGAAGTGTCAATGTACATTAGTGCTAATTCTTCCTGTAAGGTCAAAATCTCACAGGTTCTTAATTCTCTATTAGAGCAATAATTACTTACACTAATCTTAGGACATAGCTGCTGAAGTATCTAGGTATTTGAAATTCCCTCTTAGATGGCTCAACAAAAAAATAAAATAAGAAAAATTTTTGTGTATGTATGGGTACGTGCATATTTACACGCTCACATAAAATGGCAAGATATTAACAATTGGTGAATTTTTGTCAAGAATTTTTGGGTGTTCACTTTACTAGCCTTTAACTTTTCTCTAAGTTTGAAATCTCTTCCAAATGTCAGGGAAAATTCTAAACAAAAATTATGGGCCAAAAGCTGGAAGATAAAAGGTCAGAAATAGTTTATAAACCAGAAAACTAGGGATCTAGGTAATTTCATGTTAAAGAATAAGCGCCTTTAAAAAAAAATCCAGCAGTTACAGAGTTTTAAAGCTTTTCCTTTGGTCAGAGACTAAAGGTGTTGCAGTACTAACTACTGAAAAATGGGTTTTTATATTACTCATTGTTACTACCTCATCAACTATGACTGACCAAAGTTTCTGAGATATTTGCAAGATGTCTTTCTAATGCTTGTTATACCATGCTGGATTTAGCAAAAATAACTTCTTTCTTCTTAAAATGCAGTTTCTGAAGTTCTTAAGTCACTTTTTAAATACTTAGAAAAAATAGAAAAACTTCATTTGGATCACCTACATTTTAGTTAAATTTGTTGTCACCCTTGCAGAATCAAAATCAATAACAAAATTATTGATTTGATAAATTGTTTCACTAAAAGCTTGATTAACCATTGATAATGTTATTATTTTGTCCTGTGAGTCAGCAGGTTCTTCAGGAATAATGTTAGGAATGACGACACCAGGGCTGGCATGCTAGCACAGCGGATAAAGCCACTGGCCAAAACACTGGCATTCCATATGGGCACCAGTTCATATCCTGGCTGCTCCACTTCCCAGCCAGCTCCCTACCAATAGCCTGGTAAAAGCCATGGAAGATGGCCGCATTGTTTGGGTCCCTGCCACCCACATGGAGACCCAGAAGAAGCTGTTGGTCTTGGCCTGCCCCAGCCTTGGCCATAGTGACCATCTGGGGAGTGAACCAGCGGCTGAAAGATATCTCTCTGTCTCTCTTTTTCTATAATTCTGACCTTCAACTAAATCTTAAAAAGGGTGGGGGGTGGCACTGGCTCACCAGGTTAACGCCCTAGTCTGAGGCGCCGGCATCCCCTATGGGAACTGGTTCAAGACCTGGCTGCTCCACTTCTGATCCAGCTCCCTGCTATGGCCTGGGAGAGCAGTGGAGGATGGCCCAAGTCCTTGTGCCCCTGCACCCGCATAGGAGACCCGGAGGAAGCTCCTGGCTTTGGATCAGTGGAGCTCTGGCCGTTGTGGCCAATTGGGGAGTGAACTAGAAGACTGGAAGACCTCTCTATTTCTGCCTCTCCTTCTCTCTCTGTAACTCCGACTTCCAAATAGATAAATCTTAAAAAAAAAAAAAAAAAATGAACAAGCTAAGGTAGGCATTTTGCCTAGCAGGCGAGACACCCATATCCCGTATCAAAGTGCCAGGACATGCTACCTGGCTGCAGCTCCTGACTCCAGCTTCCTGCTAGTGCAGACCTTGGGAGGCAGAAGTGATAGCTCAAGTAATTGAGTTCCTGTCACCCACATGGGAGACCTGGGTTGAATTACTGGATTTGAGCTTTGGCTCAACCCACTTCTGACCACTGTGAGCATCTGGTGAGTCAACTAGCAGATGTGTACACTCTAATAAATAAGTAAAAATGAAAAATGAAAAATAACCATCCTAAATTGTGTAGTTCTTGTTTTAGGACAAGCACCATATCAATAAATAATAAAACACAAAAATAATGCAACCACTAATATAGGACTGTAATCTACTAAAAATGCATAAAAATCACGGTGGGTATAAACATCTTTCAAAGCAAGAAAATGTTGTAACAACAAATTTCCAAAAGACCTAGAAAAGTCCAAAATATTTACAATAATCATACATAATCAAGTTTAAGATGATTTCTGTAAGATCTCCTGACACTAATGCCTTGATAAAATAGCAAATATCTAATTTTCAAATATTGCCTAGATCATCTGGTGTCTGAAGGACAGAGTGGTGGAGCTTCTCATCAAGCTGTAGACCCTTCTGTTCCATGTGGTCGATATGCAGTGTGGAAGGAGAAGGTGTCTGCGACCTGGACCCCAGAGCTGAGTGGACTGGGGATGCACTTTCTGAACCTGTAAATATAATTTCATAAAATTATCAAGTGTATATTCAATACCCTCCCTAAGATTTAACACTTAAAATCATAACAAAACAAAAATTTAAAACAAACAACAAAAGATAACAGATTACAAATCGGCCAACAAGGTAAATAAAGTATTGTATAAGCTTGTGTGTCCAGGAGCCTCATGTCATGTGTACCATGGCACGAGTATGGAATCAGAACTGTATGTACTAGGTAACAGGAGACACCAGTGCGAGTGTAGCACTCCCAACTCCTGGCTCAACTACAGAAATTCTGGTACCCATTGCTACTCTATTTACTTACTATAGATGTGGGGCAATTCCAGAATTGAGGCCCCTTCTCATAGCTGCTCTATAAGCAGCTATCACTGCTAGCTTGGTTTACACTGCATCCCAACCTTCAGCCTACAGTGGATCCCTCTTCGCTCTCCTTCCTCCCAATTCATGCAGCATAAGGTGGCAAAAAGATCTACAAATCTAACCCAATAATGTCACTCTCTCTGTTAAAACCCTCCAATGTCTACTTACTGGCCTCAGCATAAGCCTGAACTTAATATAATTTTCAAGTTTCTCTGCAACTTTCTTACTTCACTCCAACCCACCTACACCTTTAATGTTTTAGCCATAGAAAGTAAGCTACTTATATTTATTTGAATACATCATACTTCATATTTTGTTTACCCACTAATCAGTTAATGGACATGTCGGTTGTTTTCAATTTTTAGTTACTGCCACGAACTTGCACATGTAACTGTCGAAGGAAAATATCTAGGAATGGTCATATGATAAATATATGTTTAACTTTAAAAAATAAGGAACTGGTGCTGTGGCATAGTAGGTAAGGCTGCTGCCTGTGATGCCAGCATCACATATGGGAGCCAGTTCAAGACCTGGCTGTTCCACTTTGATCCAGCTCCCTGTTAACGGCCTAGGAAAATCAGCAGAGGATGGCCCAAGTGCTTGGGGCCCTGACATCCACATGGGAGAACTGCAGGAAGCTCCTGGCTCCTGGCTTCAGCCTGGCCCAACACTGGCTGTTGTAGCCACCTAGGGAGTAAACCAGCAGATGGAAGATTCTTTCTCTCTCTCCTTCTTTCTGTGTAATATTGACTTTCAAATAAATAAATAAATCTTTAGAAAAAAATACTATCATATTTTTCCATAGTGCTTCCAGTATTTTACACTTCTACCAGCAATATACAGTATGAAATTCCCAATGGTTCCACATCTGTTTCAACACTTTTTATAGTCAATGTTTTTAACTTTGGCTGCTTAATATGTGTAGTTGTATGTCAATATGTTCTTATTTGCATTCCCTGATTACTAGTAATGCTGAGAATCTTTTCATTTATACTTTTAAAAAATATATTTATTATTTGAAAGGCAGAAATATTGAGAAAGAAGGGGAGAGAAAGAGAGAGAGAGAGAGAGAGGAAGGGTGAGGGTGAGGGTGAGAGAGAGAGAGAGAGAGAGAGCGATCAATCTTCTATACATTGGTTCACTCCACAAATGGCCACAAAAGCGCAAGCTGAGCCAAGCCAAAGCCAGGAGCCAGGAGCCTCTTCCAGGACTCCCACGTGGGTGCAGCAGCCAACACTTGTACCATCTTCTACTGCCCTCCCAGGTGCATTAGCAGGGAGCTGGATCGCAAATGGAGCAGGCAGGTCTCAAACAAGTGGCCATATGGGATGCTGGAACTGCAGGCAGAGGTTTAACCTTCTAAGCCACAGTATCAGCCCGTACACTCATTTTTAAGAACAACTACAATAAACATTGTTTACTATAACAGAAGAATTTTCTCTGGTCTTTCTATGAGTAATTTTTTTAAGCAAGAGAAAGAGAGAGAGAGAGAGAAAAGAGAGAGAGAAACCCTCTATCTGCTGGTTAAATCATCAAATATCTGTATCAACAGTGCTGGGCCAGGCTGAAGCCAAGAAACCAGAACTCTACCTGGATGTCGCACACAGGTGGCAGGGACCCAAATACCCAAGCCATCACCTGATGCACCAGCAGTATTCTCCATCGGTCTGGATTGGTTGACAAAATGTGGCTAAATCACAGAGGCAGAAGAAATCACTGCTCTAGTCGTACATGTTCCAGCCAACCACAGGATGCAAAAATCACCCTCTGATAGTTAGGCTATAATGGATCATCACCTCTCCAGGGGCATGAAACTACAGCTGGAATCAGAGTCAGTTTGGATCAGACAGTGGAATACCCAGAACTAGGAGCCAAATAGACCTTTTATTAAGCAGTGGGTTTTGTATTTTGTACAAGTACTTTGTCAAAAACTACAAAAATCTAGGCTAACTCTGAATGACAATGAAGACAGAATGTGGGTGTTTGGTGCAATGATTTTGATGGTATTTGGGATGCCAACACCCCATACTGGAAGTACCTGGGATTGAGTCCTAGCTCTGCTCCTGATTCCAGCTTCCTAACGAACATCCTAGGAAGCAACAGGTGAAGGCTCAAGTACTTGAGTCCCTGCTACATAAATGGGAGACTTGGAGTAGGTTCTGGGCTCCTGGCTTTGGCCTGGCCCAACCTGGGCTTTTGTTATATAAAGATGAGTGGGGAAAAAATATTTTAATAGTAACAAGAGGGGCCAGCGCTGTGGCGTAGCGGGTAAAGCTGCCACCTGCAGTGTCAGCACCCCATATGGGCGGTGGTTTGTGTCCCGGCTGCTCCACTTCCAATCCAGCTCTCTGCTATGGCCTGGGAGGGTGGTGGAGGATGGCTCAAGTCCTTGGGCCCCTGCACGCGCGTGGGAGACCCAGAGGAGGCTCCTGGCTTCGGATTGGCGCAGCTCTGGCCATTGCAGCCAATTGGGTAGTGAACCAGTGGATGGAAGACCTCTCTCTCTCTCTCTCTCTAACTCTGATTTTCAAATAAATAATAAATCTTTTTTTAAAAAAAATACAAGAATACTTAAAATATGTCAAATAAAATTATATTATAATCAGATTCTTTGAAAATTTAAAAGATATACTGAAGGAATACATTCCCTCAAGTAACTTTACCAGTAACAGTTGCAACTTCAGCAGAGAAAGCTTGCTGATTAAGGCTATTTGTTTCAGAATCTATATGAAGTGTGGTTAGGCTAGCCACTTCTTGTTCTTCAGCACTCTGAAGGTGGCCAGAACCTGAATCCACATCAGTAGAGGATGCAATCCCAGTGTCAGCTCCAAAGCCAAAATCTGTAGGGAAAGGAAATGCTAGTATTTGAGTCTCAATTACAAAACCAAAATACTTACAAAAGAGACATAACTAATCAGCAAAATGATCCAACACTAATATTCTCCCAAAATTTATTATATTCATCTATCATCCAAGCCAAGTATAATATTAACACCAACAGTATTACAATTATAAACATACAGCTTATTATTAACATCAATAATGACAACAAGACAGAGACATATAATATGTCATCATTATTCTTATCCATGTTTTCTGATATTGGTAGCATACTGTTTTTCAAATATTATATAATCTCTGGTATTAGAATATATAATAAAGTGACACATTTATGGTAACAATCATTTTCATCTTAAATCATATGCCAGTGTGAGATCAGAGTAGCGTACAATCCATGATGGGGAGAAACATTTAATTCTGCAACACATCTCCCAGTTCTTCGGGTTTTTAAAAAAATTTTGGCACTGTTTGCTGACTGCCAAGAATGCAGAACCATAGCAGAATAACTATGTATAGCAATGCAGCACTAGATAATATCACTGATGTTATTTTAACATGGAGCAGTTATTCAGAAAGGTTCTGGGTATACTGCATTGAACGTAACTGGTCAGTACTTTCCAAATATGAGTACACAGAACAGTGGCAACTCATCGCCATAGCTGTGTTTCATTTTAATATCAAGTTCCTCCTAAATTATTTTTCTTTCTACACTGTTTCATGAAAGGTCAGTGTTTTTCGTTCTTTAAATGCCTTTAGTTTCACAAAACAGTCTAAGTCCGAGATGATTCCTTAACTACCTATGGAATTTCATTGAAAAGTGAAATAAAAATGTGGGGGACCCACTGTCAAGGTAACAGTGCAGAGGCAGTGACGACTTAGATAACCTGTCAGTCAGTCCCCAAGAGCAGACAATCAACAGGAAAACATACGCCTCAAACAGAAAAAGATACTTGCTGTCAAATTTGCGGCCATCGTACTGGAAAGCGCTGAAAGAATCCGAGTGACTATCGGAGCTGATGAGATCGCTGCTGCCAGCACTGGCAGGAGAAGTCCACTCCGAGGGCACGCCAGGGTCATCAACAGGGCGCATCTGGTTCTGTTTGTTCAGAACATCCGGGAGGTCTTTGGGGATTTCGAGGCTGCCGGGACTACTTCCTCTTCTTGTCATGATCTAAAAATTCAAGAAACACTTTACCATTGAAAAATAATAGCGACATGTTTTCATTCTCAGTAGGCATGGGAAGCCTTTAATTTCTAAGATAACATCTAATATCTAAGATAACACAATAAATGCTAAAATTTAGGGCCTGAAGCAGGAGGGAGAGAACTCCCTCACTGAACATCCTATGTCACTGAATGGAGCTGCAGCCTGACCTAAAAGCCAGGACTCAAATATAAGAAGCCGCCGGGCCTGAGAACTGTAAGCTTCAAAATGATCCCAGCACCGAATGCAAGTTAAACTACAAGGGAGAGCAAAGTGGAATAAGCAGCAGCAAGACAGTGGGAGAAAGGGAAGAACGATGGCAAAGACACCACTCCATCATGATTCTACAACAATTTTTACCCACTCAAGGAAAAAAACTAATTAAAAAATGTAAGCAAGAACATAATGAAGCTCGAGAACACTAAAGCAAACCCAGCAGTTCTATTTTTATGTATCCATCTCTAACTGACCATTACTAGCAATAAAGCAGACTCTAGTCTCATTTTTTAATAATCCTAACATTCAAGAGAAAAATCACTTTTTAGACCTGTTTCAAGGCAATCTGGAAGATTAAGTAACGTTCGTGTTTGTGCTATTAGAACTATGAGAGATGAACCAGAAGACTTCTACTGTTACTTCTCCTGTTGAGAGCTGGCAGCTAGCACCGGGGTAACCAATGAGCAAAGATGAAGAAAGAGGAGGAGGACTAGGAAGGTAGTGGGTTACACCTCTGTACAACAGGTGTTCCAACATTTCACCTTGGTGACAATTATAAACCTGCTTGTTTTAAGTCTTTGGATTTAGAAAAAAAAAACTATGAAAAATATAAAAAATCTAAACTCAAGTGTTAAATTTGGGGGAGGAGGGATGTCTTGAATAAAAATTTCCACATATACAATATACACACACATATATATACACATAAGTATGTATATTCCAGCGTCTCTACCTAGTTCTATTAAAACTAAATAAATAAAATAAAACTTACCGAGGCAGTACCACTTCGAAGTCGTTCTGCTATAAACTCATCCATCAGATCAGGAACATTAGCACTGTTGCTTCCAATATCACTATTAAGGGGAGGCAGTTTGGGGCTCATGTCCTCTTTATTGACTAGAAGTAAATAAATAACTATATATAGTGAGGAAAAACTTAACTACATTTTCTACATCTGAATAAACAAAAACAACCAACACAAAGTACCTATGCCATATCAATTATTTGCCAAACATGCACGTTATGAATAATTTCCCTCTTCTTAAATTTAAGAATTAGTAAATTGATATTCATTTTATGTAACTAAGCAGATGTTAGTCAATCTTCAGTATAACCTTACACAGCAGAAAGCTTACAGATAAGCACTAGCTGGAAGTTAGGTTAATATTGCCTATAAAGAAACTGGTATCTTTATCTTTCTTACTGCCTCCATGCTTCTATTTAGAGCCCGAAGAATTTATAATCCCAATTTTTCCTCAAAGAACAGTTTCAAGGAATATATACCTTGAGCTTATGCAAATCCCAGTGGGCCATAAATGCATGCAAGTTTGGATATTAATAAATAAATAAATAAACATTTTGATTTTAATAGTTATTTCTACTAAAAAATCTCATTTTAGTGCTTTAAGAAAAAAGGTCTATCTTCACAAAAGCTTTTCTTTGAAATTAAAAACAAAATAATTATTTTGATTTTCATGACTACATTATGATTTACATTAATGTGAAAATTTTAAACTTGGAAAATTAACATAGAAAAAAATGCTGTCACTACTATGCTCTTGAAAAGTTAATTTCTCTGTAATGAAAAGCAAATTATCACTGTTTATATTTCTAATGTCCTACAAATCATTTCAGGCTAAGAAAAATATATTGGTCAGAAGCTCATCATGAAATACCATTATCTTTATATTACTGGCCAGGCTTTGCTAAGCTGTCAAATACTGCCCTCAAGTGGCATTAATGGCTCAATGCAAGATGCATTATATAGCGCTGTTAATCATGCTAACAAAACCATGTTAAAACAAATAAAATAAAAACCTACCTTACTGCTGAAAGTTACTTTTCTATGTCCATAAAGTTATTTTAACTTTGAATTAAGATTAAATGGTTACCATAATCTTTTTTTCTGTAATCTGTTCATAGAGGTTCCATATTTAAACTATGATTGGCGATTATGAAACCTTTTATGCATACCCAAAATCTCAGATAAAAGGAAATGATAAGTGTTTCAAGGACATGTGCATTCTACAGAAATGAATGCAGAACCAAAAGGCCTATAACATACTCAGAAATGGCTTAAAAGTGACTGAATCTACTTTTAAGACATAATTTCTTCTCCAACAGGAGTTAATTACAATGTGGACGTTGATTTATTTTGTTTGATATCAAAATAATTTTCTACGAGGAAAAAATATAAAACTAAATATATCAGCACTAAACATAAACTTGATTATATGTATTTATATCTGATGTCCTTTTACATATAAAGGATAGTGGGGTGAGACAAAGTAAGATGATTCCTCAGCAAACTTAATTTCAAGACTCGTGTGGTATACACTCAGAAAAATATCTGATTTAGGTAGGTTATTAAGATTTTCTTATATTTTCCTCTTTCCTACCTTACTGTTCAGCAGCAAAGAGGTTTAACTAAATGCCTTATAAGGAAATTAGTAACTTAAATAAACATTTTATGCTGGGAAAAATACAGCTGGGGAAAGGCGCATGCATAACCAAACAGAGAGAAAGCAGTGACCATCCCAAAGCTTTTTGATTGCTTATAGCTTGCTTCAGTTGCATTAAGCCAAACTGGTGCTGTCTTTCTCCTTTTGCGCTCTGCACACTGTTAGTGCTCACCTGCAGCTTTCCTTCCAAAATAGCCCATTACATGACTGTACAGATCCCTCAGTGGAGCCTCTGGTGGCATTCTGTTCTGCCTCTGTGGGGAAACATTTGCCTTCGGCTTCGAAAGAGCATGTACAACAGTTTTATAAACGCCACCCAGGGAGCCCTGCTGTAGTCCTGCCTCATGAGCTGATGGTCTAGGAGTACTACGACTACCTGACTGACTGCTTGCCATTTCTTCTTTCTGTAATACAGTGGTGGGAATCTCTGTGGATTCCTTCATTGTTTTAGTATTTACTGATGCTGTACTAATTGTATCTAGAGGCCTGTACATGCCAGGTTTTACTAGATCGGAGCCAGCATTCGAACTGGCAGGGACGTTGCTGGTACTGCTACTGCTGCTGCTGCTGCTAAAGCCACTGAGTTTCCGCAGTCTCATCTTCCATGGAGCCTCTTTGCTTTCCAGAGGATTGTAAAACTGAACTGACTCAGTAGATGGTCTAAAAGTAACATGAACACTATTTCGCTTTTTAGTAGCAATTTTCATGATTTTTGCCCTGTGAGTTACTGTTTCAGACAAGCTTCTTTTAGTTGGAGAAAGCTTGCTAGTGTTTGAAACATAAGGCATTCTGCGGTTAACAGGTGCTTTTAGTGTAGTTTTCTTGGCATGCACATGGGGGAGAGTGATTTTTTCATTAATTTGCACATCCTTAAGCTTTTCAACTAGTGTTGTATCTGCACAGGCATCTAAATCTGTAGCTGCTTGTCTATGTAAGTATTTCCTTTTCTCTTTATCACAAGGGCTGTCTGAACTAGGCTCCGACGACTGCTTGTCAATGTTTAGCTGCTTAGACTTTTCAGAAGTTTGTGTTTTCATAAAACTGTCTGACTGATTAGATGCAATATTACTCATGAAGACAGCTGAGCTTGGTTCTTTTTGAAACTGCATGTTTTCAGGAGTCCCAACAAAAGATGTGACATTTTCAGATTTAATTTCCTGATCTGTATATTCTAATTTATCTAAGGATGACCTTTCATCCTGATTTGCTGCAATAATCACTTCCTGAGAAGCTGCATCTTTACCTATCTCATTTTTATTATGATTTTCCTGGTTTTCCTTAAAATATTCTTTCAGAGAGGAAAGAAGATCGTCATCTCCTTCAAGGTCAATGTACTGGATTTGTTCAAAAGCTGAATCTGCAAGTTCTACTGGACCTATTAAATGACAAAGATGGTCATATATGCTATCACCAACTTCCAGAGAAGACTCTCTACTATGAGTATCAGTGATGTGGCTTTCAGTGGATCTAGTTATTGAAGAAGCCTCTGTGGAACTCTGTAAGCTTGGTGCATGACGGGATGAACTGTCAATGACAGGCACTGCACCTTTGGCTCGTTCAACAGTGAATGGTTCCAAGATGTCAGAAGTGCTGCTACTTCGAGGCAATGGCTGCTCCTCATTCAAGGCCCCAAAAACTTCATTACCCGTGTCTTCACTTTGTGAAAAATGTCTGACTCTAGTTGAGCGGGGAAGTATCTGAGCATCATCAATATCTGCAAAAGAGAAAAATTACAAAGAGTAGGAACTACATGAAGATAAAAATGCACTAATTTCAGCCACAGCCTAAGCATATGCTTTAAAATAAAAAATTCTGAGAATTTTTGTAAGCTCAATGAAGGAAAATCAACTAAAAACACAAATCTGTTTCTTTTTAAGCTAAATGATGGGTATAAGCCAACATAGCATGTGGTGTCAATGAATTAGAAAACTACCAAAACACATTTTTAAATGTTAACATGCATAGAAACAATGAGGTAATGAAACATTTGGAAGTGCAGTTAAAGATAGAGCTGTGCCAATTAAATCAAGCAATTCAAACTGGATTCATTTTTTCCTGCTTGAATTCTAGGCAGAAAAAATAGCTCTTAATACATAAACCTTATCAAATATTTGATTGTAGATTTCTAGAGTCTCATAAATTCCCCTGCTTCTATCCTGAGCAAACAAGAGTCATCATCTTTTCTTCAAATCTTCTCTGTCTGTTCAATCATGTAAGACTAAATGGAAATCTCTCCCTCTTCCGAAAGTTCCATCAGGAAACTGTTCTACCAACGTGTCTTTTACTATGGTATCAAATAAAGTCTATACATTATAAAAATATTAATTGTACTTTTTCACCTTTGACAAAAAAAAACACCATTTAAATCTGCTAGGAAGAAACTTTACCCACCAATGCCCCTTTTTCATTAAACAACTACCACTCTCTAAAAACTGTATCTATAAATTCTTCCACTTCTTTGAAACTCAGAGCTTTTGGAGTCAAAATGGATTGAAGAGATTATATAATTTAACCCTCTTACACATGAGGAAATTGAGGCCCACAGAGATTAGGTTACTTCCTCAAATTTACAATCATAAAGTTTGAGAAGTCGGCTTAGTGTTCCACGTCACTGCATAGTTCTCACTGCCTTAAGTGCTAAGTACGTGGTGAATCCTGAAAAATATTCATGAAATTGAAAATCACAAGATTAAATACCATTTATCTGTTCAAATATATACCAATTGTCAAAAATGAATTTTTAAAGTAAAATACAATGTCTGAATCCTACATGGTCTTTAAGTTACCTAAGAAAAACTTTGTTTTCAGACATCAGTGAAATATAATGAAAAAAGATACAGTCAAAAGATCAGCTGTTGCTATTTATTTGGCATGTCATTAATGCAAAAGTGAAAAGTAACAGAAGTGTAACTGAACAACAAAATAAGAAAATGTAGATCCAAAATAAAGCAGTGATTTTTCCAAGATCACAAAATAATCTCTTGATGGTACAAGGTCTAAAACTTAGATTTCCTTACTCTACTTTCGAGACCAGTTTCCTGATTTTAAAAAATGTGGCTAGTCAGTCAAAATATTTTCAGGATCCACAGTATGATGAAGGGAAAGAACCCTTCTGCTATTTCATTAACATCACCCTCTTTTTATATGGTCCAGATTGATCCACTTTATACTAAATTCTGATCAACAAAAGACTATTATGCCATGATTCTAGTAGATTCCTGACTATCTCTGTGTCAGGTGCATAGTATCTCCTGACGTTTACACAAAAATTGGTTTTGTCATTAAGCTGAAGGGAATACAGTACTTTAAAAATTAACACTGGCTTTCTTCCTAATGCATTCTGCTTAAATGTTATTTCTAAATGAAAAGCAAAACATTTCCTTACAAACTTCTTATTTACGAACTTAAACATACAAAATGTTTGCTATTGTAATAGATAACTAATGTATATTTGTGCATCTTGATGAATATTAATATTTTGGTTTGTTCTATCTCCCTAATAGATAATAAGAGACTCTACTCTGAGGACAGATAGCATATTCAACTTGAATTCCCTGAGTTTCATTCCACACAATATCCCAAGACTCAGCAAAAGATAAAGACTACATCACTTTTCTATCAAAAAGCTTAAAGGTTTATAATTGGGATTTTAGCTTATGCAAGTTCAAAATCAAGACTTCAAAACATTAAAATCTAATATTATGAAACCAGCAAATATATAAGCTTCAGAAAAAATAGACTTTAAAAAGTCTCCGTATTTGATATCTCATAATCTTTTCATTCTAAAGAAACCAGCAAAACTATTGGAGAGCTGTTTTTAGAAATTTCTTCCCAATCCTGGTCCTCACTTTGCTTATTAGGGAATGTAACCACTATCAGAGCCAATGTGTTTTTCCCCCAAAATTTTGTTATTATAGATGAATATCTAAAACTATAAGAGACCAAGAGCTTTTAAAAATGTAACTAGATATTTTCTAGCAATAATATAGTGTTGCAGATTTTAAACACTTTTTTTCTTAGTTTTAATTTAAATATAATTCTTACATGGGCACATGACCATACTAATTGTAGAAAATCAAAGAAGAAAATATACCTGAACCTTACTGAGGAGAAAAAGGCTAAATAATAGCTAATCTACATGTAGCATTTTCCACACACCAAGTATTGTTCTAAGTATGTTGTGTGTGTATGTATGTATGTGTGTGTGTGTATATATATATATATATATTATATATTAACTCATTTAATGCTCCCAATAGCCTCATTAAGTAGGTGTTATTATCCCTATTTTATAGATGAACTGTTTAAGTGACTTGCTCCAGGGGAACAGTGATTTGAAGGCAGATTACTCCATACTCTTAATCTTTTTTCTCCCTCTTCAAGATTTATTTTATTTGAAAAGCAGAGTAAGAGAGAGAGGGAAGAAGGGACAAAAAAAGAAAAAAATCTTCGATTTGCCAGTTCACTCCCCAAATTGCCAAAATGGCTGGGGCTGGGCCAGGCCAAGCCCAGCAAGAGCTAGAACTCTATCTGGGTCTCCTATGTGGTTGGAGGGACCCAAATACTTAGGACATCATCTACTGCCTTCCCAGGTGCATTAGCAGGGAGTAGGATCAGAAATGGAACAGCCAGGACTCAAATCACAGTTCCGATACAGGTGCTGGTATTGCACAAAGTGGTGGTTTAACCTGCTGCATCATAATCCCAGCCCCGTAATCTTATTCTCTTGAATATGTTATATATGTTGTATTATGTAATAATCTGTTAATTTTGTAAACAAAATTTAGGAGTTGGTAAAAATTAAATGTATTATAAACAAACACTGTTGGAGACATTTGGGCTGTAGCAGAACTAGGGGCTTGAGCCAGTGTATGGAAGATTTCTGTCTGTGCCTTTCAAGTAAAATGAAAACAAACTGCAAAAAGAAATTGTAAAGCAGCACACTGAGTTATCTTACAAATAAAAAGGTAGCAAAATAAAATATTAGTAAATTACACAGAGCAAAATAATTTAAAAGTTTGTATATATGGCATCAAATTTAGCTAAAATGCCCTTCAAAATTATCCTGTTTATATTTCAATTTTGAAAACAGAATGCTTTAAATTATTTTAATGTAAAGTATTAAAGATCATTTAATGAGCAAAAGTAGAAGAAAATAAAAAATCCACTTCTGAACATTGAGAAAAATCTTTCTGCAGAACTTATACACAAAAATGTTACATTTTTCTTCCAGATCTCCTTAATAATCTTTAGCATTAAAGTGCTGTAAATTATTTCTGGATTTTAAAAATAGTTTTTTTCCTTAATATTCTATTTTAAATAAAAGCTTTCTTTTCTAGTTTCTAAGCTAAGCTGTACGTTAAAGTATATTAACTTGTAACATGTAATAAAAATACTTTTTAGTTGTTTTACTAGAATTTAATTTTCCTGAGGATTTTTGTCGTGTTCATCACAGTATTCTCAGGGCCTGAAAGAGTACCTGCCACTCAGTATGTGCTTAATAAATACTAGCAGATGGAAAGTATGTTTTTTTTTTTTTTATCTAAAATCTAATAGCTGCTACTTGGTAAAAATCAAACTAGTTCCTCAGGAAAAAACTTGTGAGAATACTAACATACTATTAAAAATTTTTAGTAGTTTCTGAAATTCCTTTTTACCAAAGTTAAATACTTTTTTTGGTCAAATACAAATATTAACTATAATTCTTTTATGGCTACTGAATTCAAAAACACATTTACATTAGTTGACACAGAAGTTGATTATATTTTGAAACTCAGATGTCTTCTGCTAATTACCTGAAGAAAATAACAATGTACACAGCATTTATGTTTGAAATTTTATTACTAAAAAATTCTAATCTTTTTAAGGCTAGATGTTCACTCTGCAGATAACGCAAGCATTATTTATATCATTGAAATCATATGAAAAGACTTAAAAGCAATAAATCAACCTAAGTGCATGATTCTAAGCCCTTAAAATTCAACTATATATTATTTCTACTCTTTTTATCCTTCCAATACTTTTCTTGATTTGAAAATTCTGGACATAGACAAATGATCAATATATTTTTAATGTAAGAAAATCATAGTGTTTTCTTTATGAGCATGTTAAATAATACTATGTTTAATTTAGGTTCAAATTTTCTTGAGATGTACTTACTAAAAGGTTAACATCAACTATTCAGCCTAAAAAAATCTGAGTTGGAATTATGCAATAGTCAACAGATTATAGATGGAAAAACTGTGAAAGATTAGTGTATCTTGTTGCATATTATGATGGCAAGAAAAATTTATCTGTATAAAGAATGGCCAACATGTTTGATTACAGATGGAAAATTCTCCTCCTGATAAGGCAGAATTTACAAACTACTTGGGTATAAGAGACATCACTGTTTTTCTCACAAGTGTAAAGTTCAAATATATTTTGCTCTCTACAGAGCTCAATTCAAATAATAAAGCACTGGTTATAAGAAAAGAGAGACTGCTCATCCTCCAAACATTAGCATCCTATGTACTCTGGCCTGAACAGACTAGATTATAGCAGCAATAAGAATGGCAAGTGAATCATCAGTTTCAAAAACTGGTTAGAAAAAAAATGGGTCTGTAAGATTAATTCAAAGAAATCCACACTACTTGACTGGAAAACAACAAATAAGAAACTGCTGCAGGAATATAAAAAAAAAAAAAAAGTCAGCTGCCCACCATGTTTATGTTCTTTTTTTTATATTTCCTTAATCTATCCATTTAGTTTCACTTAATAAGTTATTTTTAATATCCTTTTTCTCATTAAGATATTACTTCTGGCTTTAAAAGCTAATTTGCTTAAGACCAAGACTTAAGATTTCAGGCTTCTCTCTAATCCATTTGTAAGGAAAATAAGGACTGATCTACTACGGGTTTTTGTAAAAGTTCAACAATCTAGTACAGCAATTCCCAACGGCTGATGGGAAAGGTGTTGGGGGCACTATGTTTACCCACAGATCATAGTCAGTAGAGCTACGAAAAAGTGCTGGATATTTGTACAACCCCCAGCACACTGTATCCAAATTTGAGGACTAGGCCTAGAAAAAAATTTTTTAAACTATTACAGGTGAATCTAATGTTAAGAAATATTCATAATGTCACATTGGTACAGTGTCAGTGTCCTTGAATTAGTCCTCATAGGTTAAGAAAAATTCTAGGAGGATATTCAGCTATTCCACTAGTTTAGTCTGTATCTGTACATGAAGTTCTTCCACACAGTTTCACACTCACAACAATGTAGGTATTATTCAAGAGTGTCAGGTAAATATTTTTTTGATAGATTCTACTTCTGACCAAAAGCTAGAGTGACTGTCCATGATTAGTTCTATTGTTTCGGGATTCTTTTTTTTCTTAGTGAAGCAGTTAGAGAAACTCAACTCCTGATCTCAGAGATATGTCCAGAAAATATTTTTAGTTCATTTAGGCCTGCTCACAGAAGGGAGATATATAAAACCATTGAAAATGTTTTTCCCTTAGGTCACATTTCTTCTTAATTCTCTTTGACTTGTGAATGTATGACAATAATATGATCATAAAATAGGCTATTCTACATTAAAATTTGTCCAAACCTTGGAATTAAACAGTTGGACTGACTGAGGGTCGAAGACTTTAGTGATAATTTTATAAATATCTATATTCATATAATTCCTTTATTTCCTCTAATAACCTAACATCTGAAGAAGCAAACTCCAGGCCTTCAATTTGTCTCCAAGAACCACAAGGGTAATAATATATCCAATAATTTGGATTTCTGCAGTACAAGTTGGTATAAGATAATTCTGTCCAATTTTCAAAGTGCAAATTTTTGAAATTATGAAGTGAGTTTGATGTTTTCCAAGTACGTTCTCTCTGAAACCTTAATACTAAAGGTGGTCAGTGTGTATACTAGCAAATCTCTGCTTAAGTTTGGGAAATACTGGACTGAACAATTTTGCTTTTATTTCTTTTAACAGAACATCTAGGGCCTTAATGTGTTTATGTGCAGTATACACCTTTACTTGACATACAGATCTACATCTCCTGGAAAGTATTCTAAATTCATATATCAGCTTGGAAAATACTGACTTCAGTTATCAAGAAATTAGTACTAGTTTTGAAGGATTATGTATATTTCTGCATATACTCTTCCATATACTCTACATTTTCTAAAATAAACATTTACTTTATTTTCTTTTAGTGACTGTTGTCTCAATGTTATCTAAATTTTTAAATTTATCGTAGGAGATATTCTACCCAATATGGAAAATGAAAATAGTAACAAGTAAAACCATTATTCTTTGTAAATATTTTTCATAAATATTTAAATCTAAAGAATACCAAACACAAGACATATGTAGATATGTTTCTGTATTGTACATACATGTAACTCTCAATTATGTTCCCTTTCTTAACCCCCAAAATTTTTTTCTTAATAAAATTAAGGTTGGTGGAGGGGATTAAGAAAGCACCTCCCCTCCAGTTCCTTTAGTCTATCAGGAACAGAAGAGTATAAAAATAGATTTAAAGAAACAAAAACAGCAGCAACCCCACCAAAAGTAAGGAAAATGTGAGGGAAAGATGCCTGAGAATAGCAATAGGAAAGTACTTAAGAATGTACAAGTTTCTTTGAACCAGAACATTTTGCACACTGAACTGTACTGAACAAACTTTGCCTCTGTCTAAAAAATAAAACAATATCATTTACACTTTTTTTTTTGGAAAACAAAATCTATGGAGATGGGAATTAAGAAATATTTGTGGTAGTGTGTAGTTACTAACTTAAAGGAATCATTAGGGAACTTTTGAGGTAAATAAAATGCTCAGAATTTTGTTTGGGGTGATGGTTAGTGATGTATAGTTCTCAAAACTCACTAGACTGAATCAGAGTCTGTTAATTTTATTATGTTAATTAGACCCTAATTAAAGAGCAAACTTTCCAATACTGGGGTTTAAGGGACCTGAGGAAGAAGTGGAAAGCTGAGCTGGGAGCTTCAGAGAATGGTTTAAAACTGCATGGGTTCATACACTTCTACATACCATTACGGCTAATATGAATACAAAGACTTATTCCAAACCAACTTTTATATTATATACTTCTCCCAATGAACCATTGCCCTCACTTAGTTCCATTACCACAGATGATCAAGAACAAGTGAATCATTCAAGATTTACCAAATGCCATTAGTCAAACAAGGAAAAATTAAAAGTAGGCTCTGATTATCTTCCAAGTCATCTCTTGTAAGACATCTATGACATAAATACATTACTACATCTTTTAATCACCTGAGAGGAATAAAAATCAAACATAAGCAAAAAATGGCCATTTATAATAAAAAAAAATTGGACATTGGCACAGCACTAAACTTAGCACTTCCATAATGAACTGCAAGGATAGCATTAAAGTTCAAATAACTCAAAATGTTGATTTCTCAACCACTTCCCCAGTTTCCCACACCTCCCCCAAAGAAATTAACTTTGAAGAGTTTATTTGATTAAGCAAAATTTGAAAGCAGAGGATTAAAAAGTGAAAAAGGTGGTGCAGAAATTAGCAGAGGTGGCACTACCTGAAAGCTCATCAGAAAGGGGAGTGAGAACAATATCAGGCAAGAAGGGTTTGGAAGTATGGATCAGAACAGGAGCACTTTTAGCACTGCGTATATAGGCCGATGGCAGAGCACATTCACCAATGGATCGGCTTCTCATGGCTTTAAAAAAGGAAAAGAAAGAAGTGGGGAAGGAAAAAAGAAGAGTGACTATAATGAAAGGCTTGTGTCACAGAAAAAGCAGCAACAGAGAAAACTAAAAGATACAAAGGAAGGAAATTGTAAATTAAAACATTTCAGCACGGCAAATACTGGCAAGCTGTAAAAAAGAAATCAGAACACACAGAACATTTTTAATCTAACTTTTTTGGTATAAAGCAGAAAAATGCTTTTATTATGAGCAATTATAATAGAATAGCATTATTAATACACTGGACACTTTAATAAGCACTATACTCTCAAATGCAAGAATTGAGAAATTCACTGAATGGAAATATTGGTAAGAACTCAATACTACCTGTTCAAAGAAATTTCTGGTACCATATTTGGATATCTCTCTAGGTAATTCTTAGCCAATCTTCTTAATGAAGCTGAATTCTAAGAACAAATGATTCCTACCTTTGACCTCTTCCCCAATTAAAGTTTCCAAGTCACTCATAGGTATTTTTTAAGAAAATCTTATATAATTCATAATCAAAAGGATTTAATCTCTTGGTTAATATTTGTTCCTGATAGGAGAGAAATGTTCAATCAAATCAGTCTCTCTTATTTATAGTAAAATGTAATGAAAATTAATGGAAATTAGAATTTGTAATTAGCATTAAAATGAGATTCTTGAGAAAAATAGACAACTTCATGCTTATTCGAATCATAAACATAAAAACTTAATATTTTTTAAAGATAAAAAACTTTCAACTGGGTTACTTTTTTAAAAAATTGAATCTTTAGTTGCATTTGGTAATTCCTTAAAAAGTTATCACTAGTTCACAAAATTTAAGACAAATTTTAGTTTACTTAGAAATAAACTAACAATCAAATTACTCTTCCCAGAGATTTAACTTTTAGTTTAAGGATTACTGATTACAGTTAAATGTTTTATGTATGAGTAGTGCACTGAAACAACACTGCATAAAATAGTGTATCAGGGACGATGGCAAAAAACTGCCAAAAGCAGTTTGAATGCTGACATCAACTATACACCCTGGATTTTCCTAATTACTAGAAATGTTTTAGTTACTTGAGGCCTGAATCCCCCAGCCTTTCACATAATGCACATGACGTGGTGACAATCCACCGTCACTGAAACATCATATACGTCTAGTGTCCACCCATTCTGCTGCCACACAGAATTTTACACTATTCTCTAACATTTCATGTTCTTTTATAACTTCATAGTTTTGTGTACTGCTAGTATCTTGGCTTCCTTCTCCTCCTGAGAAACATAAGACATAAAACATCATCTCATCTGAGAAGCTTTCCTGACCCTTCTGCACAGAAATAAACAAAAGTAAGAATTCCCACTTTTCCAGAATTAACAATCTACTTTTAGTAGACTGTGTTTTATGTCAGCCTTCCTAACTTCCCAAATGTACAAATACATCCTTTTGTCTTTGAATCTCCAGTGCCTGGCATTATATGAACTCATTCAATCTTTAATGAATAGCTGTATTCGGGTAACAGTTCAGTATAATCAATTTGAAAAAACAAAAGTTTCAGATTATAAGGGTATGTAGGAGAAAACAAAAAATAGTAAGCAAAAAACTAAATGTACTACATTGTTTATAACACGAAAAATCAGATTTTTCAAAAACTTTTACGAATGATAGCAAAATAAGACTCTTTAAGAGGTGATTATAAGTACCATCTATGTGCAGCAAAATGTAAAAGTTTATAATACCTTAAGTTAATGGCAACAATTTGCCTTCAATGCATGGTTTGCCATGTAAGGTCCTAAAGTGTATTTTAAAATTGAATCCATATACAAAATATCCCAATCTGGCCCCATGAGAGTTTTAATGATGGATTATTTTCCCTCTTAAGAAAAAATGAGCAACAATCTTATAATCCAATTTGAAAAAAAACAAGCTATGCTGATTTCAAGATATTCATTAAAACTTCTTTAGAGCAAAGACACAACTACACAGGCAAAAAAAAAATATTTTACACAGAAAGTAAAATTCAGATATAATCAGAGATGATTTTTAAAAGGATTTATTTATTTATTTATTTGAAAGGTAGAATGACAGGAGAGGCAGAAAGAGGCAGAAGGAGAGTTGGGGAGAGAGAGAGGAAAAGATTTTCCACCACTGGCTTGCTCTCCAAATGCTCTAACATTTAGGGTTGGGCCAAGCCAAAGCTTGGACCTCCATCTGGGTCTCCCACCTGGGTGGTACCTTGGACTGCCATCTGCTCCCTCCCAGGCACGTTAATAGGAAGCTGGATTAAAAGTGGAAAACTCAGTACTCATACCAGGCACTCCAAGATAGGATACAGGTGCCCAAGTGACAGTCTGACCCACTGCCCCACAATTCTCTAAAAACATTTTTTTAAAAAGCAAACTGAAATAAATTTTAGATTCCACAAGTAAATACCCATTTAAAATTTTTTTCTTTGGAGATAATTTCTTTTATTGTTTAAGATTTATTTATTTATTTGAAAGGCAGAGTCCCAGGGAGGGAGGGAGGGAGGTGGAGACAGAGAGAGAGAGAGAGAGAGAGAGAGAGAGAGAGAGAGACAGAGAGAGAGAGACAGAGAGAGAGAGACAGAGAGAGAGAGAGAGAGAGAAGGGGAGGAGGAGGGGGAGGGGGAGGGAGGGAGGAGTCTTCTACCAGATGGTTCACTCCACAGGATGGCCACAACAGCCAGAGTTGTGCTGATCTGAAGCCAGGAGCCAAGAGCCCCCTCAGGGTCTCCCATGCAGGTGCAGGGGCCCAAGGACTTGGGCCATCTTCTACTGCTTTCCCAGGCCATAGCAGAGAGCTGGATTGGAAGTGGAGCAGCAGGGACTCAAATTGGCGCCCATATGGGATGCTGGCATTGCAGGCAGTGGCTTTACCCGCTACGCCACAGCGCCAGTCCCTGAAGATAATTTCTAAGAGATAATTCTTTCTGTTCCTTCTTTTCTAACACCAATTTGAAAGAGGGGCTTGAGCATTTCCCTTACAACCTTTTCCATATTTGTAGCGGCATAAATATGTGCTATCACCTGAATAAATTCTTCAGAAAAATACCCGCCTTTGGCTACTGAACTGTGGATCTTTATACACACCCGGAAGTTGGCAAGGGCTTCACGGGCAGGAAAGCCCCACTACAGAATACTGTTTACGGAAAACCAGTGCGTGAGATATGTCAGGTTTCACTACTTCAAGTGCCTGGCTCAGACACTCTCTGGGTACCTGCTGACATTCCAGTTCCATCTGCATTTCTCTGAGAGTGGCGCTGCGGAGCATGTGCTTCCTGACCATTCGTCTGTCTTTGGAGAAATGGTCTTTCAAGCCCTTTGTCCATTTGTAAAGCAGATCACATTTTTCCTAACGTCTAGTGCCAGTGTTATATCCACCAGCTCCTTACTCCAGCAAGAAAAAGACAAGGATTTTAGAATACTTACACTCTTACTAAACTCCTCCTGAATAATGTATTATGATTATTTTAATTCTGCCATTAACTAACTCCAAAATGATAGGGATAATTGCTACTGTATACAGATGATATTTATTTAGATTTGCTTCTGTATTTAGCAGTTCCTCTGATCACTTACTCCTTCTTGTATCCCTCACTTCAATCCTGGGATAATCTTTTTGTTTCCTGACATACTCTCTAAAAGTTCCTTTCGTAAAGGCCAGTCAGTAGCAAACTACTTTAAGATTTTTGTCTCTGTCCTACCTTCATTCTTCAAAGAAAGGTTTGCTGAGTACACAATTCTAGGGGGATAATTCATTTTCCTTATTACTTTGAAGATAGTATCTTGGGGCTGGTGCTGTGGCATAGTGGGTAAAGCTGCCACCTGCAGTGCCAGCATCCCATATGGGCGCTGGTTCTATTCCTGGCTGCTCCACTTCTGATCCAGCTCTCTGCTATGGCCTGGGAAAGCAGAAGATGGCCCAAGTCTTTAGGCCCCTTCACCCGAGTGGGAGACCTGGAAGAAGCTCCTGGCTCCTGGTTTCGGATCGGCACAGCTTCGGCCGTTGTGGCCATCTGGGGAGTGAACCAGTGGATAGAAGACCTCTCTCTCTCTCTCTCTCTCTTACTCTCTTTCTCTCTCTGTGTAACTCTTTCAAATAAATAACTAAATATTAAAAAAAAAAAAAGTTAGTATCTCACTGTCCTATCTTCCATTTGTGCTGCTGACATTTTCAGAAGTATGGCTCTCTTGCAGGTGATCTATATTTTGTCTGTTTTTTTTGTTTTGTTTTGTTTTGCTTTTTTGACAGGCAGAGTGGACAGTGAGAGAGACAGAGAGAAAGGTCTTCCTTTGCCGTTGGTTCACCCTCCAATGGCCACCGCGGCCGGCGCACTGCGGCCGGTGCACTGTGCTGATCCGATGGCAGGAGCCAGGTACTTGGGTGCAGGGCCCAAGCACATGGGCCATCCTCCACTGCACTCCCGGGCCACAGCAGAGAGCTGGCCTGGAAGAGGGGCAACCGGGACAGACTCCGCCGCCCCGACAGGGACTAGAACCTGGTGTGCCGGCGCCGCAAGGCGGAGGATTAGCCTAGTGAGCCGCGGCGCCGGCCTATTTTGTCTGTTTTACAGCTCTTTTTGTTGTCTTTCCATTCTGTAGAGTCAGTGCAATGTGTAGGTATGAGTTTCTATTTATTCATACTACTTGACATACTATGTGCTTCTGTTTCTATAGACTCACAGCTTCCAATTATCTGTCACTCTTAAAACATTGCCTCTCCTTCACTCTCCCCAGGAATTCCAAGTAGACATTTCAGACCCTCTCAACCCATTCTACATATTTCTATTTTCAATTTCTTTCCTATTTTCTACCACGTTGTCCTGGATAATTCCTTCCAATCTCTCTTCCAAGGAACTTATTCTCTTCTCAGTTATATCTAACCTGTTGTTTAACCTATGCACTTAGGCTTTTTTTCTCTTATAATTATATTTTTACTTCTCAAAGTTCTATTTGGTTCTCTCATTTTTGATAATTTTAATAG